ATTCAACAGTCTGTTACAATCAGCTAAATAACTTTAGTTCTTTTAAAATGTTTACTTGGTTTCTCTGTTTAGAATATAAAATTGTATCTCTTTACATTTTTATTTGGATTCACTAATTTAAATTTATAACTGCATATATGCATATTCAACTGAATTAAAATAGAAGTTATTCGGTTTTATATTACTGTTGGCAGCAATGATATGATTGCAAGTATAATTAACTAAATTGATGAATATAAATTGATTAAAATGAACTTCATCTTATTAATAGGTTTAATGTTCAATGGCAAGAGTAGTAGAGTAAAAACCTACGCGTATAACATCGATATGAATCCAACATTTGAAGGAATCTATCTCTAAGATTCTTCAGTCTGTTGAGACAGGCACGTAAAATTGAATCTAGTGTCTGTAATTCTGTCGATGAGAGTGTGAACAATATATGCTCATTCTTTGTTTAATGATAAGAAACTAAGGATGTGTTTGCAAAACGTGAAAGACCTTTAATTTAAGAAAATGTTTTTAATTTTTATGGAACGCATTTTCTATCTTTTGTTAAACAACATTATCAATAGGTCAAATATTATAAAGTATCATAGAAATGTACATGATGAGCGAATGTCCTTCTCAAATCATTCTATTGTAAATTTTATTTATCAATGAAGAATATGGAGTATTGTTTATTCGCTATGCTTTATAAAAGAACTAAAAGTAAGTGAACGCACACAATCTGAATGAATGATATATGGTTTAAATAAAAAAATGTTTAGTAGTTTTCTAATAAGTATTATTATGAATGTTCATTCAAAAATTACATCTTCACCAGCTTGTACAAGATATAATAACTGCTAACAGTCACAATGAATTTAACTCACAATATAGTAAGAGCCATGTAAATGATAGTATTCATTAATATGTGTGTCCTCCACAGATAGAATAAGTAGCTGTATAATTTTTATTTATTATCTATTGGGCTTTTTCACTGAAGTATTTATCAAATAATAACTCTAATGTAAGATTCAGCTTAAATTGAAAAACTTATTTAAAATAGAATAAAAAGTTTAATTTGTTTTTGACTCGATCTTTGATGAAACTATACAATGAAAGAATTGAAGAGAAAAAATATAGGGAATTTCGGTTGATTGAAATGATTCTTTGATGGAAACATAGGGTTTTAGACAAATACTCATCTCTAACAATGTGACTCGAAAAAATCATCACAATAATTTCTATTGCACGCAAGTCAATTATCGTTCATAACTTATATTACAACGAAGGAAATAAACCGTAATATCTATAGCAGTGTCAAAACTATAATTATATTCTTTAAACGCAATGTACCGATTCATCACGTACAAAATCAATGGAAAATTTCGCAATCCTCGTCCTGTGTTTACTGTCTGGATCATTTCGAAATAGTTGTATAAAATCATAATTTTTAAGTTGCTTAATCAATCAAAATACGTGATAAAATGAATACAATTTTAATTAAAAACTTTTTATTGGTTTCACAAATCCTGTACGTCTGTGCCGATAATAATTAAGAAGTTCCAATTTGATATGAATTAACTCGAAAGAAGAGATAAATCGACGTAGACACTAGGCAAATGCAGAATACTTTGAAGAAAGAGTGAAAAAGATCTAATTTCTTAGACGCGAAGTCTGAAAACATTGCCGTTTTGCAGTTCTAAAAACTGCAGGAAATAAAACATTTTTCACGATAGTAAAGCTTATTGGTACGTATATTTATAAATCAATAATAGAAGGTCATCAATATTCACACCTATTTATATTGCAGTAGATATTTGCAGTATAACTCTTCTCAACGTAAATGAAAATTTCAATTCATCGAACTTTTGCCCGAGTGAGTAGGAATCGAATACACAAAAAAAGACATTTATTCAAACCAGTCGAATTTATTCGTAGTTACATAAGTAACTTTTATAGCTGATTCAACCGAACAGCAATGTCTTAATTCGATTTATGCTCAGAATTAGAGAAATCCAAGCAAAAACAATTTGAAGAGATACTACTGGCCTCGGAGTCGTCCTATATTTACTATTTGTTCTCCTATATTTCGATGAGTTTTTGCTGTATATGGTATAAAAATGGAAAAAAATGGAAAATTGCTAAAAAACGCTCTTGTTTTAGTATAATTTTCGTGTTTTTTAAACAAATCTAATCGATAATTATTGATTCTTTCGTATTCTTCGAAGGTTTTACAGGAGCTCTATTTTATTTACAATTTCTTTTCGCATTATCAAACGGGCTAAATGAAAATAACTGGCTATTTTAAGTAAAGATATTCAAACAAAGTAAAATAGTCTTTATAAGTAGTTGTGTGTTTTTTAAAAGTTTTTATTGCTGCCTATCACATGCAGCTACATAAATAGTTTTGTTCAAGCGTAACGCTGTGACGTTTTTGACACAACTTGTCATGATATGTTTATGCCATAGAATGACCATTTTTGGATTAAGTCTCTACTTTATAGAGAGGAATCTTGGTTCCCTGGTTGTGACATAAAAATACACTTTTCTTCAAGGCCACTAATTCGCTTCAATTTCTTCTGCAACTATCTATCCAAATGAAACACTTCTCGAGTTCGTTTTGTAGTGCTTTGACCAGGCTTTAAAACGCTAAAAACGTTTTTCTCCAAGCTATTTTTGCTTAGATAAAAAGTGCAAGGAAACAGCGTGACATTTTTAGTGACGCTCAGACACAATTTTCCCCCACCAATTTCGAAGCACTTAACATAATCAGAATTATTTTATTTTTATTATTATTAGTCTTTTCTTTGTAACTAATCGTTACGCACAAACGAAATCGATACATCCATATATGGAAGGTCATAAGCAGCAAATTGAGTTAGAAACTGTATAAGACTCTACATTGTCCTTAGCTACGCAAGTCAAAACAAAATAGGCCATTTGGTAGAGGATGAGATTCTACAACTAACGATCTGTCATTAATACTTTTTGAAAACATTTCTTGCTTTAAAAACTCAAAATGCGACTTGAAATTTTTAAAACTCGGTTTGAGTGTAGGTTGATGTGAGTTTAAACATAATACGAACCATTACCCACACCCTGATTTATTTTGTATTAATTTATTAATATGTAAATAAACATATTTCTATTGAATTTAATTATGTCTGATTCATTTAATTTAATTTAAGACAGAATTAAAATGAAATCTTGACAAAAATTTAGTGCATATGTTAATTTGATGCAGGAAAAGTTTAAAACAACGTTCAATTCGAATCTAGACAATGAATTTTCAATATCCTATTCTTTTCTCATTTTCTACACCTTTTCCCGTATTCTTAAAAAGTTTGATCCTGTGCTAATTCTTACGTTTTCAAAAACTCGTAATCCGAGGCCAGAGTAAAAATATCTTTTCCGTAGTAAGTGGTCATATATTATTACTGTTGATTAGCGATGTTTCCGATTGTTTATCTGATTTGTCATTGGAAAATGTAATAGGACTTTGAGAAACAATGAAGGAGAAAGATGCTCTGTTTTGAGATATATAAGTGACATGACGGGGACAGGACGAGCGGTTGGGTCCTTACGAAGTATGAACTTTAGAAGTTTATTAGTGTTGAATAATGAGTATTATCATACATAATGATGGTCTATTAGCTTATGTTTTTCGTTTATGAGGGTGCAGTAGACATTATATTTGAACTAACAGAATATAAAGTTTTATCTCTTTAATTTTCTTTTCGATTAACTAATTTTAACTTAAAAATGAAAGTCAACGTTTCTTTAAGTGAAGAAAATCTTAAAACAAAGTTTACTATGTACTCTTTACCGTTCCATTTCCGACCGGTAGCCTTTTCTTCTTTTTAACTGTTTTTAAAGTTTGTTTTTGAAAGAGTTTTCTACCGTTTTTCTTTGTCGAGGAACATATTTCACTAGGTATCCCAGCTTTTCTTTAGTTTTTCTACCGAAATCAGTTTGCATATCGAACAAATTGAGCAATTACAAGAGTTTTATTGTCATCTCCGATTTATTAGGATCTTTCATAATGTATGTATTAATAATAAATAAGAGAAAGCCTGAAAGAAACGATCATTTTAAATAAATTTAAAATTTATCTTATGTTTGAATTATCTTCAATGAACCTAAAAATTTTAATAACTGAAGAGTAGATGTATGAGATTTTGTATGGATTCCTATAGGAACCTATGTTTTTATTCGATCGATTCTTCGCTAGATAGACACTATTAGAAAGATGCTTATGTTTAACATTATAGTTGGGACAAGTCATTGTATATTTTTTTGAATCTAAATGAATTGTCGATAGAATCTATCAAAGCTTCTCGCACAACAAAGGAGATGCATGAAGTTTTCTATTATAACTTTGCAGGGGTAATTATTAAAAATTCTATTTTTTAACATGTACAACTATAGTTGTCAGGCTCTTCAATACCAAAATAGAAAAGTATTTCTGAAAATATAAGTCGAAATTAATTCATTTATAAATACAGTGATTCATCTATAGACAAATCGTAAATATTTCGTTGCATTTGTCCGTTGACTAAAGAAGTATTTAATCGTAGAATTAGATGAATATTAAAATAAAATAAATCAGTCATTTAAAACTGTCCATGATACGATACATATGATGACTAAATCATATGCTGAATCTGGTTTTACTCGCATAAAGGGTCAACCCAAAGGATAGAATTGATCAAAACTGTACTTTGAACTTAAGATTTGAAAAATGATTAGCATTTAAGAGTAGAAACAAGCTAGCAGAGATATATAACCATAAAGAAAGCAATTTTTACACTTAAACATTGTATATTCATCGTTATTACTTGCTGTTTTAAAGGAAGCAGTGTTCATAATAGTACATAATCTCAAGGTATGTTTTCTATGATCTCCTATTGACCAAATTCAGATGATATATTTTCATTTGTTCTTACTCAACATAGAAGAAGTTGTTTTGTTTTGACTTTATATGAACTGAACATTCCTTCTAACTATTTACATCTCTAAGTAGTTAAATAAAATAACTTTCTTACTATATTATTTCGTAATGCTTTGGCAAGCATTGCAACACCATGATGTGTAATTTCCTTATCGTGCAAATCGAGTTCCGTGCACTCTTGTTGTATGATTTCTTCTTCGATAATACGTTGAATGTCAGCATCGGTTATATTCTTCTTTCGATAGGAAACCTTCACTTGTTTTACAGGAGGTTTGGATTGAGGAACTGATTTTGGTACTATTGATGATGATGATGATGATGCAGCTGCTTTAGGAGTAGCAGTAGTGGTGGTGTTCGAGATTGTTGCTGAAGGACTGGAGGCTGTAATAGCAGCTATGTTTGGAAACTGCGGCACCGTTTCCTTGAGTTGAATCATAGTAACTTGGTGATCCATGTCGAACAATGCAACAACTTGCAATTCTTGACCAGGAAGAAGCAGTATTTCTTCTTCATTTGGATAGAATGAATGTTGACTAATTTCTTTTTCTGTGTCACATTCAATTGCAAATAAATTTCTTGTGTCGGTCTTTCCAAAAGATTTCTCTGCTTCGAGTACGTCTGCAGCTGTCGTACAGGAAGAAAACCCTCGCCAAACAATACGCGCACCTCTCTTATAGTGTTCACGCAAATCCAATTCCATTTCTCGATAGACTGTTCGGCGACCAGTTGATGGCAGTTTTGAGAGAGCAATTAGTAAAAGTTTAAAAAACTTGAACCATGGTGGCAGCAATGCGTCTCGTTTTGAATGGCGTAGCACATTGTTAAGAATTATGTAGAATGAGTTTTTCCGTGGAGACCATTCCAACGAGTACAATGCAATTGCTGCAGACTCATCAGTAGTTAAATCATGTTCCGGTTTCTTATTATTTCCTTCAATGGTATGTATCATATGTTCGATTTCGGGAACATGTGGTATGAGAGGTTGCGTTGCTTCTTTGATAGATACGAGTGGAGCATTTTCGTAGCCTCTGATAGGTGGTAATCTTCGCATAGGTTCTCCGGCTATGTCAGAGAAACGATACACCCCATTCGCTCCATCTCCCATTTTAGATTAAGAGATCTACATATTAACATAGAAGTTTTCTTTTAATTTTTGGGTATGGGGTGTGGGTGTGCCTAAGGTTGTTATTTTTCTATTTACCGACACACCCACACCCTTGTATATATTTCTAAACATATACAGTTCAATCTTATTTTAGGATAGGCATGAGTTTAATTACGAGAAAAAAACAGATTATTTTGTTGTAAAACACAGTTTGCTGTTCTTACCGTCTGGTTACACGTAAAAGACAAAACAGTAGCGTTGTGTGCTTTACTTGCATAGTTTTATGTATCTTAGAAACAGCAAGTAGATTTTTTTCGTGTTCTTCAGATAACAACAAAAAAAAGTTCTATTTTCTAACGCTAAGTGTAATTATGTGTGCTGAACAAAAAAAAATCAGAAGAGTAATGGAGAGAGAAAACCTTGAAGTCACATCAGTGAATTCTTATTGCTCTAAAGAAAAGAAATAATCAAATTTTGCAATTTCGAAATGTTGACGTTAACTAAAGGATTTCTCTTGTCAGGTCGCAATCTAGTGAGTAAGAGAGCTCGGTCACTCCTAAATGTGTGGACGTCGGAATTTAAATATTAGTTCGAATAAATTATTTTGAAAACAGACAATTGAAATACGAATGACAAAATGTGTCGCTATAAGTTAAAATAAATAGTGTTGTTTTTTAACAAATCTATGTCACATAGAAAAAAAATGTTACTTGAAACTATCGACATTGAAATTAAGCTTTTAATTCTATATTGTAAATTCAGCATTAATTTCAAACATGTATATAATCTTAAAGAATGTTTTCTTAATTTTTCATATCTTCGTAATATTGTACAATCTCGTCTACAAAAATTTATATTATGACAGACGGTTTGAATATTCGATTAGTTCACCAATTACTCAAGGCTGATATAACAATATCTTAGCAGTTTCTTTTGAAGAGATATCGAATCGTAAATTATGTAGCTATTAGTCACCTTATTAAAAATATTGTTATACGAGATATATGCTCTTCGTTATTTCAATTGTTTTCAAAATTTTTTTAAAAAATTTGTTGTGCCGTTAAGAAATTTTTTCCAACATAGTCAAGTACGAGAAAGGTAATTGAAAGCACTTTCAATATTTCCTATGATTGACATAACTGTCTAAATTTTAAAACAAAAGGTATTCATGACAATTGAAAACTCAAGCAACCACAACAGTCTTCTCCGTTTGAAATTTCTTTGCTCAAAGTATAAACAATCAAATCTATCAATATATATATATATCTTTTTTTTTAAGATTTGCATTAAAAAATAACTAATTTTTCATTCTAAACAAAGACAAAATATAGATATAAAGTTGTTCGGTCTCAATCAACAATCAATTGTTTCCTATCAATAAATTATATTAAATAAAAAACAGGCTGACCTATCTATTATGTTGAAGGAATAGATAAAAGTCAATCTGTTATTCTCAACTCTTGCTTTTCAGCAATCGATTGCTTTGTCGAACTTAAATGAATATGCTAAAACAACAAGTTCCCAAGTCCATCAAAACGCAGGACGTCACGGCGTCGTTTACGATGGTAAACGATGAAAATACGGCCCGTTATGGCATCTTATTTATCCGTTTTAACACTGGCAGTAATACGACCGTATTGTCCCGTGTCGTGTACGGTGATGGCGTGGATTTGGATATTAGCCTTCTTGTCACAAGCGCCCATGCACACTCCGACCTCTACTTCCACACGTGATCCAGTCGACAGTTTCTGTGTTGTGTGCTGTTTAGCTTGTATTCTGTCGAGACAGCCAAGGTTCGAAATCGCACACACACTCTTGCCATCAATCAGAGATGGAATGAATCGCTTTTCTCTAGTTAGTGAAATAAGTGAACAGGAGAACTGCGATAAATTGAAGTTCGATTTATCACATTCAAACGAATGATCCTTTTCTAATCGATGAAAACAGCGAAAAAAAAGTCATCACTCAAACAGGAATTCCGTAAGCCAAATTTGTAAGAACGATTTTTTTTGCTAATAATTGTAAAAGGAAAAAGAAAAATTTCGTTCAAATAGGAAGCCGTTAAATCCTATTCAAAAGACTAATATTTTTCTAGTTATAAAAAATTGTTTCGGTTTAGCGTTTCTTTTTGCTTTTTTTTTGTTTGACGGGTGGAATAAAATGGTTCGCTGGAATTAGGTTTCTCCTTTCCTTTTTAATCTACTAGAAAAATATTCAATAGTCAAATTCGATTTATCCTGTTTTTATTTCAATTTTTCGTTGTAATTCAATTTAATTTTGAATTGAACCTCCGTCACTAGAGTGTCTTGACATGATGAACAGAGAAAATGTGAGACGATTGGCAACTTCGGCAGTGCCTTTTAAATCTGAATATTTGATCCTACTTTAAGAACTGATCAGTTTTGTATTGTATGAAATCTGCAGCGCAAAAACAGTGACTAATAGATACTCATATTTTTTTCATTGTCGAATTGAAAAATTCAGAGAAAAGAATTAATTGATGAGCAATTCATTTGTTTCGAAATCAACAGCATAGAACTCTTTCATTAGATCATAAGGTATGCATAGTGATAATAATAGGTTTTATGAAAGAAGAGTCTGATCGGATGATTAATTCTTCAATCTAGACTATTATATCGTCTTGCAATTGAAGCATATTGACTTGTGTTACGGGCTGAGAGTGATAATGCTTGTTAACTTCGAACAAACAATAAACTTCTTTTCTTCTCAATCATTCAATTCAATTTACTGATCAAGTGCATTTTCATTCGTTTGTGTCGTTTAATAACCATTTCGTGTTTCAATCAATGGATATTTCTATCTTGTTACTCTCTTTTTATATCTATGAATATTTCATGATTTTGTAAAGCATTGATTTGTTGAATCATTTAAAGTACTGAAGAGATAATTCTAACAGTTATTTATTGTCAGTTTGACTAGAACTTGATTTCGATTTCAATGTATATGATTTAATTCTTATTAGTGTACAACAAGGAAAAATATCCACATTGTTCTTGATGATCTTTATCGCTGTCTAAAATTGGTTCAGACCTTCTTTTCTCTTCATTCACGACGTAAAATACTATTAAGATCATGATTAGGAAAAATGCTTGAGAAAACGCAAATAAACCCAATACAATTGTGTTCGATGGATTGATATCTTTTGAAATAAGTGATATTGATATTGGTATAGAAGCCGCCACCGTAACTGGCAATATATCATTAAGAAGTGCACACATCACGAAGATATTGTAAGCAGACCTGACATAACCCGTATAGTGTAAGTATTTCAAAGTGTCTGGTACGATATGACAATCAGAGTGAACTAAATTGTCGAAGTCATTCAGCCATTGATAATCAATTAATAATTTATGACCAGCGATTTTTTCCTCCAAATCTTTCATAAAAGCATCTGCTTCTGCAGCCATTTTGTATATCGGGGGTCTCTTTCAATGCATGATACTCAATAATCACCTTATTATAATAGACCGACATGAACCAAATAGGTATAAAATTGATGCCATAAATAAAAAAATTGCCACCAATGAGTTTATATTTCTTGGAGCATAAAACCATTTCAAATACCGATAAATATATCCCGGCATTGTTATTGTCGGTTCCGGTGCGACGATAGATTTTAAACTATCGATTTCTCCATTCGACCTCGAATCAGTGGACATCGAAAAGTACAATACTAAAAATCGACGCATATCAATACCAATATAAAGGAAATCTTTTTTATCACAATAAACTACAATAAATGAACTTTTTTAATTTAACAAACTGTCGGTACAATAGACGTCGCTAAATGTCAAATGTACCTCTAACAAAAAAAGTATGAAAATAGTTGAAATGTTTCCATTAGAAAGAACAACGTCATACATGTTGTATTGTAATTCGGTCCAACTTCTGTTTGATTTTGGTCTGCACGGTGATTTGAACATCGCTTGATTACATACCTGGTCTCTTTAGTTCATTTTTCTAATTATTAGAACGAGAACAAAAGTACAAGGAAAGAATTGTCACTTCGAACGAAACTGATTAATGACACATTGTTTAGTGATGTTACTAAAGAAGATGATTGAGTAAATTGGTTTGTAAACATTGTATTGCTCTCATATAAAACTATATGTAATTTTTCCATTCTGTTTGCAAACAACATGAAACCTTATCGGTCATTGTGCTCGCGAAGCACTTTTCAGTAAATATTGGCATTCTGGCGTATTTTATCTGAATGCTAAAAGTTTTTCTAATTTGATGTGGTGTTTTTCTTTAGAACAGCACTGAAATTAATTTCAAAATCAATTCGCTAGACTGTTTCTAAGCTTCGCCCATGTAAATCTCTTATGCATCAATAACTACTTCTACAGTCTAGACATTAATACAACGGATTGTTTCTCAAGAAACAAAAAACTACAATAAATATTTCATATTTTTCGAATTCTTGCGTTCTTTTGTTTCTTTAAATTATACTAGGCATATGCAAAAAGAGAACACACATGTTGAATAGATAATTAGTTTTTGCTACTTGTAAATTAGATCAACGTCTTCTTTTTTTCTCTGCACAAAATCAAGATATGGTTCAACGATTGTCGGAAAGGATCAATGTACAGATACATGAATTTTCTTTTTTGATAAGTTACAAACAGCTTTAAATCACATTTAAATTTGCATGCGAAACAAGAAAAAGACATCCATCATTTTAAAACGCAGCAGGATGCTAATGTTGCAACATCAAATGAACCATCGTTTTGATTGAATTGTTCATAAATCTGTTTGATAAGACTTATATTTTGTTGTCTTTAGGTCGCCGTCTATGAAAATGGATTAGAATACAGAGAGTAGCAGTCATCTTTCTAATCATCAATCGACATACACACGCATTATATTGTTGACTATTCAAATTAATTGTTGTTAGTTTCTTTTATTCTTCTTCTTCTTCTTCTTCTATTGAGAATATTAAAGCTGAGAGAATTGTAAGTAATTCAATTTTCTTTCTTTCGCACATATATAACGATGTTGTTACATAATCAATACTTTGAAGTTATTTCCGCATTTGAATACGATGAGCAATATATGTTCATTGCATGACCACTGCAGAAAGACACTAACATGTTTACCAACTGCCGTGTTGATTGCTTTACTAAGTGACAAGACTATAATTCATTAGCTTGTCATAGCCATCATAGTATGTAGTATGTGCATTGCTCAAAATCTCATCCTATTTGACAGCAACAGAAGTAATACATGTAAAAGCACTTATTTGTTATTATATTAGAAGGACTAAACGGAAATAACACTACAATGTTAAACATAAAAAATGCAGGTGAACACTTGAAGAAGAAGAAGAAGAAAACTTCATACTAGCATGTTCTCCTATTTCGTTTTCTTTTCTCTTGTGTTAATTTATTGAAATAATTTTTAAGTATATATATTAATATGTTCAATAGAATGGAAACAAGATTATTACATATAGTATGACCTTCGTTGTGCTGTTATTCTAGTTGAGAACAGATGCGCGTCCAGTCGCCACAATGGGTCAAGTAAACAATAGATAAAATATGCGCGACCTTTTCCATCATCTTTCTTTTTTGCTAATTACAACTAATTCTTTCTTACTCGTTTTTATTCGTCGGCTAGCTTCTTCTCTTTTTTTTTGTTTCGTAGACTATGTTTGGTATGGTGGTGAGCCAAGGGGCATATCGTGTCGGGGTCGGCTTGAGAGTGAAAGAGTAAAGAAGATGATTATAGATGCGGTTAAGCTTAACTAACCCGCAGGCCATCATCATCAGTGTTCGAACGATGATGATGATGATGACGACAACTTAATCTTGCCTGTACTTTCCGCAATGATCAAGTCTCATGACGACGTTTGTTGCCCTCGAACTATACAACACACTCGTGTAGACGACAAGCAACGAGTCGATCAAGTGGGAGCAAGCATATATATGAAGAACATTTTTTTCCCTTGTTTCCTATCTAATTACTTATCACATCAAACATTAAAGTAGAAACTCTTCTATGGCCTCCTTTCTTTCCCTCAAGTATACGCTAGGCGGAAATCAGTCAGACATAATCAAATTGCATATTACTAACAAGGCGCCTTTCAATATTTGATTGTGCAGCTGTTATAGTGTCCACATTTAATCAGATCAATTCGTGTACACTTAGTCAGAGGTTTCTCAAACTAATATATAGATCTATATGAAAAATGAAAAGAATCGGACGAACAGATGTGAAATAAGATCAACGTTTAGAGAAGCCTACTATAAACATTAAACGAATGAACCTAATTGAAACAAGTGAACAAATGAATAGTAAGTCTGATGAGATAATGGTGCGTGCCTGTTTCCCGTTCAAGAAAGAAAGATAAAAACAAAGACGTATATCAAGAAAAGTTTTCAAACTGCACAGTTAAAGACAGCATGAGGCATATCTTCCCATGACATGAACATGAGAAAAAGAAATAAGCTAATATATTCTTTTCTTTCTTTCTTTCTTTCTTTCTTTCTTTTTGCCTTTCATTGAACCATGACAAGACGTTTAATGATGTGGAAAATGAATAGTTTGAGCACACGAGATTTATCATGAACAAAAAAATTAAGAAATTTTCTCATAAATCATTGTACATAACTAACATTCAGTCAATTGATCCGATTGAATGAAAAAACAAAGAGTAGATCTGCTATATCTATTTATGATTAGAGAGTATGTATATACATTTATCTTAACTAATCGATTAGTCTGAAACTAAAGAAGAAAATACACATTATTTACGCAATAACACTTTCCTTTCTATATATGTATGTATATATTATTGTTAGTTAGACTGGCTATGTCAAGATAATCGATAGAGCGAAATTGATGTCGTTCTGACAACGTCTGTCGTTCAATATTCATCCGTCAATTCGAGAGAGATGACCGGACACAGTCTTGCTTCCTAAGTCTCAAATATTTCGACGGGATTTTTTTTTTTTTTTATAAATATTTATATAATTATAAATCAATTCTACAGATCATACAATATAAATTTTAAAGAAATGAAAAAAAAGAGGCAATTCAAGGTTCTATATGTTTGTTTTTGTCTCTCTTAAACATAAGTTCCTCTTGTGGTAATTATTGGTGGATTCTTTTCTGTTAATACTGAAAGATCAGTTTGTATTGAATGAAATAATTTATTTGTTAAATTATCAGCTGGATGTGGAATTAATGCGGCGCGTTTTGGAGAGAAAAGAAACATATCCTAAAAGTAGAAAGCAAAAAGTAAAAATTATCCCTACGTTTCAAATTACGCCATACCGATGTTTCTACTGTTATATTGTCTGATTTTTCAGATCCATAAAGGGATCCAGCTGATGATGTCTGTTCTGATGATGATGTTTGAATAATTTTCTGTTTTGTACTATGATCATCGGTGATTAGAGATGCTGGCCTTTTAATAGATTCTCTTCGACAATAGATACAAATAAGTATTGCTGCAATAACAAATAATAAACCCATTAAAATAGCGATCGACCTTAAAATATAATCATGATTAAATAATTCGAAAAAATCATATCGACTCGATGGCATATATGTTTTTAATTCATCGTCATCTACCATTGACCTTCTATAGAGACGAATTTTCATAACTGATGAAAAATTTTCGTTATCCACATCGTATGCTTCAACATCAAAGTGAACTTCTCCATTCGATACCTTAAACCAACAATCATTATTTGTTTCATTTAATTGTGCTGAACAATTAATAATTAATTGATTAGATAATAATGACGCAAAATATGGCCACGATTTATTTTTTTTCCTATAAGCGACTTTTGAATTTTCATCACAATCACTTGCATTTAATTGTTCAATAATCGGGTCATTTGAATGAACATAATTATCAACATCAATATTTAGTACCTCCGTATTCCACATTGGTTTACAATCGTTGACATCGGTTACAATAATTTTAAATGAACGTTGAACATGTTTATTATGTAAAATAACCTTAAAAGATGAACGTTTTTCTCGATCGTATATTTGATTTGTTAATAGTGTAAAAGAATTTTCAGCTAATTTTTGCATAAAAAATCCACCGTCATAAATGACTTGAATATTTTCATCGGATTTAACATATGCAATAAATGTGGCATTAGGTAAGTTTTCTGATATATAAACTTCCGTATGATTTTTTGATACACGATTTGAACCAAATGTTATTTGTATTAATGATTTATTATCGTTATGAAGATCATTAACTATATTAATATAAACTGTTGCTAATGCTGGTATGGCATTATGTGTCCCATCGGATGCACCGATAATTAGTTTAAATATATTTTTCGAATCAACTTGATTCAATTTTGACTTTAGACTTAACTCTCCTGTATAGGAATTTAGATAAAATAAGTCATTTTTCTCGTTAGATTCAATTTTATGTCCATCGATACTTAACAATGAATAATAGATACGTGCATTGTCATGGGAATCTTCATCGTATGCGGTTAATTTGAGTAATATTGTGCCAATTGGTACTGAACTTGAAATATTAAATGAATAAATCGATTGCGGAAATTTCGGATTATGATCGTTAACATCGAGAACAATTAAATTTATTTTTGTTGATGTTGTATGTTTGTAATCATTGACTGTTAATGTAAATACATATTCGTCGCGTAATTCTCGATCCAATGAAATATTAATAATAAGATATAAATCTGAATTTAAATCATAATTTAAATAAAATGGTTGATCATTAAATTGTGTTGTTTGATTTTTTGTTTCATGTAAATTTATTGATGATATTACAATACGATTGTTAAACATATAAGTTAATTCGTAATAGTGAACGCCATTTAGTAGACAATCAATATCTTCAGCTTTTGATAAATGTATTTTCATGCCCGGTATATTATTTTCTGTTAATGAAATTGAATAAGTATTCGAACTAAATGTGGGTTGGTTATCATTGATATCGTTGATTTTAAATTTTAATATTAATATATCGTACGATGACATATTATATAATTTCATGGTTAATGAACATTTTGTACATTGTTCATCGTACGGACATAATACATCACGATCGATACGTTTCGATATTGATATTAGATTTGTTGTTGAATTAAAATGTAATAATGATGAACTTTCCAATAGTTGATAAGTTATTTGTGATGGTGATAAATTATTTAAATCGTATATAATTGTATTAATAGGCGCTTCTTCATTTAGAAAGATTTCATATTGACGAGATTCAGCGAATCCAACAAGAACAAGTAGATAGATTATAAGAAGCATGATCATCTAAAAAGAAAGAAAAATGATGATGTTGCAAATGAATGGAAAGCAAGAGGAGAAGAAGAACGAGGATGAAGAGAAACAGTGCTCTCGCTTTCTCTCGTTTTCTTTTTCTGCTCTCCCACTTATTAACGCCCAATGGCCGAGAGAGAGAGAGAGACAACTGAACGAAGGAGAAAAAGGTGATAAATTACCTTCTTTATTCCAACACTCATAGTCAACTTGCTGAAGACAGACGAAAAAAAAATAATTATCTGAACTCAGTAGGATGTCTTAATGACAAAATCTCTGTTATACAAGTTCAAGATTGAATTTTTCTTCTGCTTCTACTTCTGCTATTGTCACTAGGAACAATTAGATCAATCTTAGCCGTTCATTCAAAAGCTGACATATACGGCTTCACACCTGGCATGATAAGAGGTGGAGACAGAAAAAAGAAGGAGAGAACGAAATTTTTTAACTTCTTCCGGTAAATAATTATTCATCAAGTAAAGTAATCTTAAGAGTCATAGAAAATACATATGCTTGGTCTAATAATCGGACAGCGAACATCTCATGTCTCTGGTCAGTTAAACACATTCTATGAGCTATATAATAGAGTATGCATATATACCTAGATATAGAAAACTCCTCCTATCACTCATTATAATGCATTACCTATCTTTCATTTTTTCCTTCTTGTCTACTGCCGGCAATAATAATCATTATTGTGATATTACTGTCATCATTATCCTGTGGGTGTGGTGATGACTATGTATAATTCTTCAGAGAAATGTATCTATATATATATATAGGGTCACAACTGAATGGGCTATCTTTTTCTATTTCATAATATGGTGTGAAGTAAGTTCGATAGGTAAATAGAATAGAATAGAAAACAAAACAAAAAAGCGGTTTACCGTCAATTATTTGCTCAAATAACACGCAAATAAACAAAGTTTTTATCAGATAAGAATGCTTTTCTTCTCTTGAGAATCTTATCTCCGATATGAAATTAAGTTCCTGGTTGCCTATAAATGGATGGTCATTGAAACATACATATACATATTCCCAGTATGGCGTATATAGTAACATATTGGGGTATAGAGTTAATGTAGATGTCAACAGTACTGTATTGCTGTGTTTGACAGCAAGCCGCCAAAGAGCAGCGTGCCAAATCAATTACAAGTCGATTGAGACAAGCGTATTTCTTGTTTCGATTGCGTCATTCGAGTGAATATTCTCTGAAGGTGATCATGCTATCCAACCGTTTTTCTTTCTATCGCATAACATTTATCGTTGTTTATCATTCTCAATGAACAAGCGCGTGTGTGATGTCCATCTGGATTTTATATATATTTATGTGAAGGATAAAAATCGATAGACGAAAAGAAAAAAAAACTTTTTTTGTTTTGTTTTTACAAGCAACTGATACGATCTCGTCTTTATCTAATGAGATCACGAATTGAAATTATTAAATATACATACGTATATACGAAGAATAACAATTAGTGGCTAGATATTGACCCTACTCATTTTTCTAACTATATTTTCTTTGCGCTTCTAAATAAACAATAGTTATCAATCGGATACTTATCTGATGGGTCGAGAAAAAAAATACTACGTGTCAACCAATACGTATGATAAGATCCAAGAAAAAAAAGAAAACGAAATGAATTTGCATATACGACATGCAAGATGAGACAGAAAGGCTAAGACGGATGCGATCAATCGACGCGCTTGTGGTTCAATTTACCTGCACTAATACCATTGCTATGCATACAGACACTTGAGTAATTCGCCGGTGACCGGGAGAAAGGAGCGAATCTACTTTGAATATGTTTCGTATTACTCTCAATCAGAGTAGTGAGCCTTTTTTAATCCAACCTTGTATGTGTGTCTATACATCTATCGACTCTGAATGAATAGATGTTTACAAACGTATGTATATATATATATATATATATATATCGATTTTCATCAATACACACAGGATGTCATCATGAGACTAGTGCTCAAAAAAACAGAAAAAAGAGAAAATATGTTGGTCACACACACGTTCTCATGTAAATGAGCTTTGGCTCATTTCGAATTCTTACTCACCCGTTTAAAACATTTTGTTTTTGTTGCATGTCTATAACTAGGTTGAAGTTTAAAAATTACAATAATAATGATTGATACAATCCTTGAGACAATGTATGCTTAACGACGAGACTAATTTTGCTTTAAAAAAAAGGCGTCTCCCATTTCGTTGTTGTTCATTGCACAATCAAAACTCATTTCACGCAACTACACAGTAGACAAAAATATGTATGCATGGAAAAAAAAAGACGCCGAAGAAGAAGAAAAAAAAAGTGCTCATTTAGAAAACAACATTGTCTATGAAGATATACCCCCTATTGAGATTTCGATAGCGCACACGAGAAATAATGATGAAACGGTGCTCGTAAACATCAAAGAATGACTTTAACTGGCTTGCTGTACACAATGATAATAATTGATAATCGAATGTGTACTGCGAAAAAGAAAGGCCGCGTGTTGTGATGATGCGTATCGGTTATATTTTCTGTTGGCGTTCAAAAATCAATTATTATTTCGTTCCCGTTCATAGCCAGAAAAAGAAAAAGAAAAAGAAAAACGTGCGTATCACCATCATCATCATCATCATCATCATCGCTGCTATCACATCACCCATCTTCAAATGATAACGAGGATTATATACCTGAGAAATCGTGCATGATGTGTTCTTTTCATCTGTGCGCATTTGTGATTGTTTAACTTCTCAATTGAAGTTTGTGTTTTTATGTGTATATATGTCGGCTGTCACTTCGATGATTCGTTGAAAAAGAAGAAACCTTTTTTCACACTCAATTGAAAAGTGAATTATTGCACGTTATTCAATCTTGAACTCTTGACAATTAAAAAGTAAATATCTCATTTTCTTTTTTGTTTGTCATTTTGACATTTTCGGACGATGGATGGACTCTCATTAGAATAAAGGCGGATCTTATTCGAAATGAAAAGAAGAAACTCTAACAGATGTTATCGAGAGTTAAATAGTGAAGGGAGAAATGAAACGAGATCATTTATCACGCCGTCACTAGAAAGATATCACACGATTGTTTCACGTTTCATTTTATTAAATTTTTTTGCTTTGTTTTGTTAGTAGATCTATCGGCATGTCTATATGTGTCATACACGCGATTATACAGTTAAAAAGAAACTCAGCATGATTGTATGTGACAAGTTTGATGAAGACTTTGCATGTATACTATGCATTAGAAGTCAAATCAATTTATTGACTGTATATATCATTCATTATGAGGGTCATTTTGTTTAACTTATACTTGGCGACATTATATGTATGTGTATGATACATTTAATATCGTCTATTAAAAAATTAATTGAATAGATAAAAATGATATTGAAACCGTTTTCAATAATTTATGGAAATAACTCTTGATGATGATATTTAATCATGTTCATTCAATGTTTATATCTATTCAATGATAGATAGTTGTTGATAAGTTTGCAATATTTGAAATATTTATAACGGACGAACTTGATTGAACGATGATATTGATACACAGAAAAAATATAGTTTATTTTTTTTTCCTTCAAATATTGACTCAATCAAATGTTAAACGAGAAATATTGATAACATTCTCCCATGGTTGTAATTTATCTTCATAGATGAAGATTAAGACGAAAATTATAGCGACTGTTTTTACATTTGAAATTGAATAAGCACTTGACGAGATGTGAGACAGCTGAGTGGAAAACTAGAAATTAAAACAATCTAAGAATCATCAGATTTTTCGTCTACAAGTAGATCTAGAAATTAATCATTTCTGTAAACTATTTGTTTTTTGGCATTAGTCATATGCGAAGGAGTCAGAGAAAAAAGAAATGTGTTTTTTTTTGCCAATAGATATGAAAGAATACAATCGTTTTATTCAAAATGCACACAAGTAGCTCTATTCAATTGCTGAATTTAACTTCGCTGCATTCATAAATATATATATATATATATATACGTATATAGATAGATGCAATTGCGCATAGAGTAGCCCTATTATCACAAACAAGCCTAGTCAAGCAAATAAGCAGTCATTCGTTTTTTGTTTCTCACATTAATACATAATCATCTTATTGCAAAACAACAAAATCGCTGATGAATATATCGAAGAGTTTACATTAACGTTTGATTTTAATTATGTAGATATTGTTTACCGGCAGATTCGGCTGTTGGCGTTTCTAAGTCAATGAATTCGATCAGTTCATCGATTGTAACTCTTCCCGCTACGAGTTCTCGGCGTATTCGTTGATCACGACGTCGTTTAACATTCAATCGAAAACCATCTATGCCGAGTCGAGTTAAATAAGTTTCACGTTGACGTTTCACTGTGGATGTTATTGGATTGTAATCTTTTGGACGATCTTTTTTAATATCGATGGGTGACTCACTATCAGTTGCTACCGGTGTATCGAGTGTACCAAGAAAATATTTTGTAAGACTATCAAGTATATCTACACAATGTACACGATCATTTTCACATATTGGTAAATCCATGGCAACAAGTATTAAAAGATTTGGCTTAGAAACACGTAGCGGGGGTTCGAGAGCATCAACAAAATCTGATACTTGATCAAAACGTATAAATTGTGAACCTGCTGGATCTAAACGTTGCCATTTTTCATAATACATATCATAATCATCATCAGTTAAACCCTAAATTCGAATAATCTACTGTAGAACAAAAAAAAAATCTCTATGTAGAAAAGCTCGTTTTACTTGTTGAACATCTTCTTGAGCTTGAGAAAAATTTTCTAAAATGACTGCAATATACATATTAACCTAAATATGAACAACGAAATAAACTCAAAGACAAATAGATACGTATATTTGAATTTTTACCACAACAAGAGAACTGATAATTAAATAACTGACAAGAAATGGTATTGCAATAGCTACATTACCACAATCACCTCGATGTGATGGAGATTTTATCGTGGGATCACAATCCGGTGGTCGATCATTGGTTAATGCTTGTAAAACGCCAGACCAACCGGCAGTTGTACACATTTGAAAGAGAACAATAATTGAATTTGGAAACGTTTCAAAATTAAATAAATCTGTGACACCAGCCGATTTTCTAACATAGGCGAAAAACGACATACCAAATATTGAGTAGATAAACATGACAAGAAAAAGAAGTAAACCAATGTTGAATAACGCAGGCATTGATACAGCTAAGGCAAAAAGTAATGTTCGAATGCCTTTTGCTCCTTCACAAAGAAAAAAACAGGAAATTTTAGAAAGATCTAAAAAAATTATGAAATCAAACCTTTCACAAGACGTAATACTCGACCTACACGTGCAACACGAACAACACGTAATAGTGTAGGATTAACAAAAAATTTTGCCATAATCTCTCCCAACGCTTGTCCTAAACATAAAATTATAATTTACAAGTAAATTTCGAGTAAAACAAAAACGGCGAAATAGTACCAAGAATTGAAGCAATGACAATTATGAAATCAAATACATTCCAGGGTATAGTAAAATATTTAAAATTTAATGCGACTAATTTCATAAAACATTCAACAGTAAATCTAAATTAAAATCAATAGAAAATAGACGCAATTTTGAACACCATGGGCTATCTATCGATGAGAGAAAAACTTGCTGCGAAAAGATTACGCCATCGTTTACTTCCTGTAATAACGTGGGATTGTTATAAATGAGTCGTGACTTTTGAAAGAGAATCTTAGGAAACAGTTATTATTTACTGATACGTATGACATAGGCTGACCTATAATCAAAGAGAGCTGAAATGCACGCTAATGAATGCTCGTTCTCTTAACAAACGCGGCGAACTCATTCTTGCTTACATTGCAACGAAAAAATTATTAATATATCCAAGAACACGATCATAAGCTGCACTTTGATTATGATGTTCAAGGCACATACAAAGCATATTAAGAAAAATACATATCATTATAAATATATCAAATTTTTGATTTGTTGTTAAATCGAAAAAGAATCGTGCAATAGCAAACTAAAATAAATAGAAAATCAAAAGTAAATATTCATTGATTTTTAAAACCAAAAAAAAACAAAGTTTACTCTTGGCCTTGGTAATGCTTTAGTCGGCTTTTTATTACCCATTTTTTTCATAGCATTGTAATATTTCTTTTGATCATCTGTCATGAACATTTCTATTGAGCCGCCGCCTCCTAACTAAAATGAGAATGAACATCATTAGGATTTTCCTTATCAACATTGAATTTATAAAAAAAGAACTTAATATTCGCTTTTGTTGATTGAAATTATCAATAACAACGCCGATAAATAAATTTAGAGTAAAAAATGAACCAAATATAATAAACATAACAAAATAAGCAAGAATATAGACATTCGTCTCATATTCTGGCTGAATGTCGATCTAAAAAAGAAATGAAATAAACAGATATGAAAAAACAAAAATCGAATAAAAATAATAATATACTTCTTTGGCATCAGTTGCGTCGGCCATTATTTCAACCCAACCTTTGAAAGTTGCCTATAAAAATAACAATAATTCAACATCGATTTATTCGAAACAAGCTAAACGATAAGCATAAAATGCTTGTGGGATTAAAATGAAAAACCTAGTCAAGTATGTAGTACGTGACCAATCCCCAACTCAAAATATCCACCAAAGCGAACGGAAGTCAAGAATCGAAAAACAAGCTGTTGATGTTATTTCTTTTTAATTAAATTTCATAGCTCACCACTTGAAATAAAGCCAAATAGCCACTAAGTACATTGTCGAAATTCACTCGTGAATTTTCCCATGTGAAATTTTTACTTAAACAATCCCATTTATTGGTTACATTTTCTGTAAGATTAACACGATCATGTGTACCCGAATAAACACATTTGTAGAATCTTCCACCAAATAATTGTACACCCATAATTGAAAATATCAACCAAAATACCAGACAAACAAGTAAAACATTAAAAATTGCTGGTATGGCACCGAGTAATGCATTGACAACAACCTATTTTAACAAACAAAACATAAACAATCAAATCAAACTATTTTCATACTCGAATTCCTTCAAATCTTGAAAGTGCTTTCAATGGACGTAAAGCTCTTAATGTTCTCATGGATTTAAATGCTGGCACATCAGCTACGCCAAGCCAATCAAGAAGCGTTCCTAGTACACTGACAAGTACAATAAAGAAATCCAGCCAGTTCCAACCGTTTGTAAAATAAACTTTTATTCCATAGGCAAACCATTTTAATATTAATTCTGTCGTAAAAATAACAGTAAAAACCTTATCCAATACAATTAAAATCTTATGAAATATTGGTTGCTGTCGTGTATTTATATCTTCTAAAGCCTTCATAAAACAAACATGAAAATAAAAATCTTATCTATGATCGACTTACTAAAGTTGAACTACTAGCTAAAATACTTCCAATAATAAGCCATTCAAAAAATCGATGTTCAACAAGCCAATGAGCTTGACTACGTAGATATGTCCAACGTCGTTGAAAATTCTCTGGGATAAGTTTTCCGCAACAAGAAAAATGTTTTAATATCATTTTCGGGCAACAATCGGGTGGCGTATGTATAACTTGCCATGTCGTTGGAGTTATTAATGGTATTGCATTCACATTTATCGGTTGCATTTCGATATCGTCGTGTAATAATGTTGAGCTATTTGTTATGATGAATGCAGCATTCGGATTTCCTATTCTACACATAGCTGGAAAAGACATATTACCGATCAGTTCTTGTGTAGTGGAAAGAGACTAACGAGCAAAAAGAAAAGATTAAATTGAATAATAAATAAATGAACAAACTCTGTTGTAAGCAACAACATCATAATTGTCGATCGAAGACTTTTTTCTTCGTTTTTTTCGACGAAATAAACCAAGAATTGATCGAGCAAGAAAACGAAAGAATCGTTGAATACGATCGATTGCTTCGCCTATTTTATTTTCATCATCTTCTTTTTCTTTTTCCCTTAAAACATTGGAACCAAATGATGCAAGTAGCAGAGCCAAAAATAAATTCAGTACCTATCAACAGAAAAGATTATCACATACGTTCTTTTGGGTGTTTAGAATGTAGAAATTGTTGGACTCATGAATTCCGAATACATGTCACTGCTCATTTTGTCGCCAAAAACGAATAGATCTTATAGATCAAATTTTCTCAACGAGTCTTGGCGAGAAATCAATCGATCTAAAATAATGATTACTTACGACAAGATTTCCGATGACAAATGTTAATAGAAAAAATGGAATGCATGGCCATCCAGCACATTCAAGACACACCCACATGGACTCAATCCATTCACCGCATAGGACACGAAAAACAATCCTTTAGAAAAAAATAGAAACCAATTATTGATTAATTGAAATTAACAAATAAGTAGACTTACATAAATGCATGAAAAAAGTCAAAAAAATTCCACCTCGGCATCTCTTTACCAAATTTATCTGCATATTTTTGACCAAATAACTATAAATCAATCGCTTGGAAAATCGTATCATTCAATAGTTCAGTCAATTTACCTGCATGCCCATAACAGCAAAGATAAATATAATAATTACAAGAACCAATGTTAAATTTCCTAGAGCTCCTATTGATTTGCCAATAATTGACATGAGACGATTTAATGTTTGCCAAGACTTAGCCAATTTAAATACACGTAACTTGAAAATAAATTGAGAAGCCTCGAAGAAAATTTCTATTCAAATTACTTACTAAACGAAATGAACGCAGAACACTCAAGCCTTTTATATTAGCAAGTCCTAATTCAACAAGACTCAGCGTAACAATAAATAAATCAAATACATTCCATCCATCTTTTACAAAATTAACTGGTCGCATAGCAATGATTTTTAGTATTGCTTCAGTTGTAAAAATAGTTGTGAAAACATAATTGCCTGTCGTTAAAATTCGAGTCATTTTTTCACTTTGACCTGGCTGATCAAGTGCCATAAATAATGTATTTAATATAATACATATGGTAATAAATAAATCAACAAATGCATCCAATACAAAAAATGCTACAGCAGCCTAAAAGAAAATATTTTGCAATTAACCGCATAGAATGAGTATCCAAAACAAGCGTTGAATATATATATATATATATATATATATAGTCTACGTTACTGGATAACTATTTCTCAATCAAATGGTTTGTCGAAATTTCAATTCGAATATTTCAAGTTTTTCTGATTGTCTCTACTCCAGTCCCGCTTGATTTACATAGTTCTGACTCAAACCGTTGAATGTAACATTTCAAGTGACATACTTAATAGTCTTTTTTGAACAACATTTACCTGAAACTTTTGAAAACATGTCGATTGACAATTCCATTCGCAACAATAGGTTCGTAGAAATTTAAAAATCGGCCGATCGTATGAGTTGATTTCTTCCAGATCTGAAATAGATGTATATCTTAGCGCTATGATCTTCGGTGATGTTCAGTGTACAAAAACAATTTACTCGTCTTGATAATCAATCGAAAAATAATATGGACAAAGCTATAAACATGCAGAAACAATAATTAAATGATATCATCATACGTGTTAATTTTTCATATTGATTTAAAGGGACAGAAGGGAAAAGAAAAATCTCTTTTAAAATTTCAACAGATAATCATATATATATATATGTATAACTTTTACACAAGACATGGGATCGTATGAAATCTATTATGCGTCGCCTTACTTTTTGAATGAGTACTAGTCTTTTCTGAAGGCGAACCAGTTAGTACTTCAGTTATAGGAGCATATTTTATATGAGGCTTAGCTTGATAAAGCTTTCATTTAAGAAAATAAAAATGATGAAGATTAATAGAGAACTATAGCTTGTGTTTTTGGCTTACTGTAACAGTTGAATCATTATCACGTTGATGCCGTTCGGATAAATAGGAATAGGCTCTTGTTTTTTGACTCTTTTTGTCTTCATTTGTTGAATTTTGTGCTTCGTCAAAAAATGGTATTGTTCGAATGTCGCTTGTTGTTGGATTTGAAAAAACTAAACTTTCATTATCAAAATGGAACATTGATGATGATGCTTGATATACGCGTTTAGTTTTTGGATCAGTTTTCTAAAATATTTTCTGAGTAAAAACAAAATATATATTCGCTTTTCAATGATTTACTCTTTGATTTTGATCGTATTCGTAAGAAACGCTTGAATATGAAACTTTACGATTTGGGTTTTCAAAACAAAGTGCATTTTCATTATATTGTTCAGGGTCAACATTCAATAGTGACATTAATTCGGTTGCTTTTCGTGCGTCTATATTTTGTTCTTCAAGTTCGCATTCAAGTTTACGCCTTTCACGTTCTTCGTTTTCAGCTTGAACTTTTTGTTGTTGATCTTGATAAGACATCGAAACAATAGCTAAGATTAAGTTAACCAGATAAAATGACCCAAAGAATATGACAGCAACAAAATATAGAAAATGAAAACGGCCCGCTGCGGATAATACCTAGATGAAAATAATGTGCAAAATCGAATGTATCGGTTTTTTTTCGACGTACTAATTGATAAAGATTTTCCCAGTAGTCTTGTGTCATTAATCGAAAACAGGCGAGCATAGCCCAACCATAACTATCGAAACTGTACCAAGAAAAGTGAGCGTGAAAAATAGAATCAAAATAAAATCTACCTTGTATATCCAAAATCAGGACTAGAAACAAGAAAAATTCGTTAAAATTAATAACTTAAATGAGAATAATTAAAACTCGTACTTTATGCCTCGATCTTTCCAACAAACAAAACCCGGAGGACATTTTGTACTTCCACTTGCATTACCACAAAGAACGAATATATCATTTTCTTTATGCCAATACACTTCGAATGGTAAAATTGAAAATTTAGTTATCACAATTCGCCGTTTAAAGTTTAGTCATTTAAAAATTTGCACCTTTCAATTAACTGAATCATTAGATGTTGTACTTTTAGCTACAGTTACAAAAATACATGACTTTTGGAAATTCAAAAGTGCACCAATGCGGTAGATTTTAAATTTTAATGTTAACGACTAACACTGATTATCGTCAATTCTGTCTTTTTATTAAAATTTATTTCGATAGAATAATTCTAAGAATAAACTATGTAATGAATACGTTGTTATGTTGTAAGAATGATTAAAAAACTATTTCAGTTATTCAAGAATAATCAAGTTCTCTCTCTCTCTCTCTGATATATTTGAATAGTTAACGAGCTTTTTCCATCATTTGATATACACTATTAGACATACATCATTTTCACATTCGCGCATCCATAAATATTCATAAGTAATCAAACTTATTAAAATCATCTTTTACATCATTTATTTCGACAAGAAGAACAAAGACATGAGTCAAAGTCATCACAGCTTCCCTTGCGAGTACTCATCTTGATCACGATGTACTCTAATGAATTCAGCGGTAATTTACTGATGTAATAAACAAATCATCATCTACTAATCGATTTGTAGAAGAAGAAGAAGAAGAAGAAGAAAAAACGAAAACCCTTTCGATTGATTTTTCAGCTTACTTTCATTATCGATTTCTATCAAATAAGATTCATATGTCAGATTAAATCCAATACCGGAAAGATTTGAATTATTTAAAAATGAATCAAACGTTGGCACACATTTTTGTCGAAGCACACCCATATAAAGTTGTAAGCCGACCTATAGTATCGAACAGAAGAAAATCTATTGAATCAATTTTATTCTAAATCTCAAACCAAAGCAAATATAGAAAGAATAAAACTTGATAAAACAGTCACATCGCGTAGACAAATAAGAGATTGTATTAAAGCATCAACGATTGTTTTTAAGCCTAAAAGAAACTGGTTAATTAAATCATCTATTATTATTATTATTATTGAAAGATTTCACCAGGCACAACTGCCACTGTTTTCAATGCTCTCAATACACGAAAAGTTCTTAGTACTGCAACTTTTCCCAGATTGATAAAAAATGTTATATATCTAAAAGAAAAAGCATTTCAACATCAAATATTTTTCATCATTTCAATGCATACGCAAGTGTAATTACAATAAAATCTAGCCAGTTCCATGCATCGCGTAAGAACGTGTATTTTTCTAGAATAAATCCTCGTGCAACACATTTTGTTAATGCTTCGAGTGTATAAATAAATGTAAAAACATATCTACGGATTTCACAATTCGATTGCAATAGAAAATAAAGAAGAAACTAAGATGACTTACTCGTTTACTTCAGGTGCATTTCTCATTGTCATAAATACGCAATTAGTTAAAATCGTAAGCATAACCAGTGTACTAAAAAGTGGATGCGATAATATGCCCATCGCAATACGTCGACAACAATTAAACGGAGAAAATATATAACAAGCTTTTGTTGCACTAAATCGAAATATTGCTTTATTTTTATTAATAATCACAAATGCCTATGATTTAAAACATTGAAAAAAGAAATATAAAATCTTCTTTTTCTTTTTTAAAAATCAAATTATACATACGTAATCTGTACGATAAAAATAGTCGATTTCTTCAATCGGTTTTCCTATAAGTTCAGGCGGAAATCTATGCTGTAAGAATAGAGGCAATGTTTCTCCAACGGCCAATTCTTTGTTTGGCATTCGTTTCGGACCGAGGGGTACATATTTGGATGACTTTTTTGTAGAAAGATATTCGTCATTGTCATCTTCACGTATCGTTTGCCGTTGTAATCGTTCCGAAGCAATACGTTCAGCTTCTTCTTGGCGATAACGATCAATACGCCGTAAGGATTCATGCGTAAACTCGCGAAAAACAATCGTGTTGTAATCCATCCTGATTTTTAATACTTACTGCTTGTTCATACATATTTTATTGAATAGTAATAAGTATTAAAAAATAAATAGCTATTCGTCAGCATTGACATTACTAATTAGATATGTATGTGCAATATTGAAAGTTTAATAATATTGTGAATTGAAAGATCCTCTATTCAATTTATTGGCTTACAGATATGTTGCATTTAACATTCTGATGTTGAACAATCAATGATGACAATCAAAGGAAAATTGTTTAAGGAATAAGCATGCAATAAATACGAACGAAAATAGACGAAAGGACGATCGTTAGTCTAGCGTTCAAGTAATAGTCGAGCGTTAACGGATTAAATAGATTGATTTTCTTTTTAGACAAGGATGTTACAAATCATGCAACAATAAAATACTGACTTGTTCATCTATTGACTATTTCATATTATCGTTTCTTTGTTTCATTTGAGATCGTTTTTGTTTAGACAATTGTCATGTGTAGACTAAGGAACGAGAGAGAGAGAGAGAGAGAGAGAGAGAGAGAGAAAGACAGAAACCAATGACTTCAGGGAATAGAATTTCGCTTTGATTTTCTAAGTATTTAGGAATCAGACGCGAGAAATATCGATTTGTATATATATATGTGCGTGAGTGTATAGTTTTCTGTCATTTTATTTTATTAATTGCAGTTAAACAAGCTGAGAAGTTATCGTCATTGAGATTGATGCCAAAAATATCAAGATCAACTGTTGAGTATGTCTCATTGACTTAACACATTGATATTTATTGCGCTTGTTAATATTCAAAATTGAGTTTTTTTTCTTCGTTCGATACGGTAACTTTCTTTAGGCGTTAATCATAAGGGAAAGTTCTAATTCAACTTATTGTTTTACTTGACTGATAAACTAAAGATGATGTCAATAGTAAACGATGAAGAAACATAGAAATTAACAATCGAACAGTCACGCATATGAGTCCGGATGGTGATGACAATAACGATGATGAAGTGAACAGCGTAATGTTCGTAAATCAAATTTCTTTTCTGATTAGCATATATAATAGAACGCCTTGAATAATAAGACAACTCTTAGAAAGAAACAAAGAACGATGAATTCTTGCTCTGTTCTGCTTGAAATGAAGTTCGGATCATTCACTCTATGTTGTAAATCAAGCTTACATGAGAGAAATTTATAAAAAAAAAAAAATAGAAGAAAAGAAGATTCGATGCACGACGATATGAACAACTAATCAAATAACGAAGATTAAAATAATAATATTCGTTTGACAATTAAACCGTATCGATAAAAATCGAACTGATCATTTTGTTTTTAATATTTGACTCTTCGTTTTTCATAAAAAATCATTATCGTAAAAACGAGACTAAAGATTCTTTTATTGATCAATTTAGTAATAAAATAAAAATGATTAACAATAGAAAATTTCGTTGTATTTTGCATCACATTATAGTAAATAACAAGAGATTTATTGATCAATCAAAGAATTTATTTACATGCACATTAGACCATTGATGAACTAAGCAGGAAAGTGTTTTAACACGAAAAGTCATGAAATCTCAAGTGACAATGTTCCATTGCATGTTGATTAATGTTTACAACATAGATCCAAGAAATGAAATTCAAAGACATCATATATATGTTTGTTGATTTATTAGATAGATTATAAACTTTGAATTTCGATGCCAATATTTCATTGATATTTATCAATGTTTTACATCGTTCAACAAGCATATCACTTGCTTTACTTTATTAAACAAAAGAAAAAGGGAGAGCAGCCGATATTGATTCTTCTCAGATGTGCTTTTCGTTCATACTATTTCTTTAGTTGTTGTAACATACAAAGCGAAGATAACTTGAATAACGAGACATATATATATATATATATGTAGGATACAAATGTGCCTACTATTGTCACCAATGGTATATACGCACTTATTTCAATAAGACTACTCGGCACTTGATGTGGCGTCGTCGCGACTCAAGTGCACAGCGAAACCATCAATAGATCGTGACCTATCAAACTTGACTCGTGGTCACACTTCATCATTCAACAAAAAATATACTGTGTTTTTTTGTTGCTAACCATTGAATATCGACACATCCGAACTGACAACAAGGTATCGTATATTTATATCAACTTCTGTTGTACTAATTCAAATGAGAAATTTCTCACATGGAATAGCTATCTTCTTACATGTAAAAGTTAATTTATGTGTGAAGAAAACCTAATGGTATACAGATATATAGAAAACACATACTATTATTATAGAAGTTTTCGTTCGATTACCTAATCAGTTCATCATATTAATGCATTAACACTTCTGACATATATTTTGTATCTTTCCTTTACTGTTGTCGGTCTACTTACAAACAAATAGAAGCCGTAAGGATGATAGTACTAAAGAATGAATGTTTGACATTCACATAGACGGTGATGGCATCGCTTGTTTAATTGGCTGTAATCGCTTTCGTGTGCGCTTCGCTCATCAGAGACTACGAGCATATGTACATATGTTCAATATACGCCAAATAAAAAAAAAGACGTGGGAGATGATTCTTTCCAACAATCTTATGCATATGTATTCCGCTTGTGGCTTCTTACTTGTGGTCTAACTGATCGTAGCGCATTGAAAGTCACCGTTCACAATCATCATTTATATTCATACCGCTAGACAGTGGGTAGCTTCGCACTCGGCCTATAACAAAATTCTTCTTTCTTTTTTTTTTCTTTGAAACATCAAGAGAAAAAGTGCCAGAGTATAAGTGAGATACCGTACTGAGTCAAAAATCATTTGTGAAATATTTAGTAATGGGGAAGCCGAAACATGATGACAGGTATACGTAAGCTTTTTATTTTTACACCTATATCATACAATTTTGTAACATGAAATCATTTTTTTTTAGTCAAATTTTTGTGCGTACATCTTCGCCAACATCGATATTACCATCGCCAGTCGATTTAGATATGAATTGGCATACAGCATTGAGTCAATCCGATCCAAGTCTACAGTCACGTCAAAATCCGTGCACTCAACGATCCCCTACAAATGGTTATAATACATCGTCGTACAAAGTTTCTATCGGACATGAAACAGTGAATATAACTGAAATTGCACGTCATGGAGAGCCAACAATAAACCCAAAAAAGACCGTTACGCCAGCTGAACGACGTCGTTTCATTGCAGCACGAAAAGGTGCTGATGTTCTTAGTCTATGCTTCATGTGTTTTGTTTCTGCTTCTCTCATACTTATTGCTATATCGACAATGCATTTATTAGTGAAAACAAATTATATGAATAACAACGATCTTGTTCCACTTTTACTTCAATCAACAAATATGACACCAGGCTTTTTGTATATGTTTGGTTCGCCAGTTTCAACAGCAGATTCAGCATCGAATATTCTCGTTGCAGTCTACGATCGTACCATACGCGATTTAGCGACTGTTATATGTTTGTTGATAGTCGTACTTAATTGTTTTTGCTTATTAGTATTCAGTATAGAAATTTATCTTGGTTGCAATGCGGTTAAAACTAAAACTAGTTCATATCGGTAAGAGTATTATTTTCTGTTACTATACTATCGCTTTCTTTTTCTTTTATTGTTTTATTTAGCTTTGTTTTCAGTTCTTCAACATCAAGATTTATTGCTATATGTTGTTTTTATGCATCAATACCAGCATTAATACTTGGTAAAAAATTGTTGCTGTTCTTTTTTCAGTTTCTAATTAGCATTTATAATCATTTTAGTCATGTGCTTATTTATCTTATTAAATATGACATTGATACCGGCAATTATTTCATTAGCTATTCTTGGTCTTGGCCTGACTTTTATTCTTATTACTTTGTTGACATATTTTGCTGCCTGGCAAAACAATAATTTCTCAACAACAAACGATAAACTAGCTGGCATTAATTCAATTATATATCGTAATATTGGTGTGAATCATATAGGTGAAGATGATATTGATCTTGCTAAAGCTGATGAACTTTCAACACTTGTATAAAGCAAAAATGTATTATATGAATGTACATTAGTATTACTCCAACGAATAAATAGAATCAATGAAAAAAAAACAATATAAACCATAGTAAATTATTTCGAATTTACATTTAACCGTTTCGTTCACCTGTTTGTTGTACTGGTAATGATCTGTAAATATAGTTCACTGATGAAGTATTACATTTCTTTTTGTAATACATTGTAGCGGAAAGTCATGGAACGCACTCGCATAAATGTTAGGCAAACAAAGTTTCGAATTTCGATTGTAAATTTTGCAAACATATTAGACAGCCATGAGATTAGTTCGTTCTAAAATTTCTAGATCCTTCTATTTCTCTTATGTTAAAATATAGCTATGGCAACAGCACGTCTTTCGTTTGACGTCATACACATAGACTGGCAGATAATTATGTCGTTGTTTCAGAATATGAGAAATCTTCACCATAAATTATTTCTTGGCATTATGCTAAAAATTAATATTTAAATGCACATGTCTCAACGGTTAATCTGATATTTATAAATGTTCCTTCGTTAACTAATATTTTCAAATTTCAATGTGTCCTATTTTTATATTCACTTGGTGAATAATCCTTTGTTTAGCGTCTCGTGAATCAAGATAGACTATGTATAATCTACAGAAATGGATTTTTCTCACGTGCGAATACTAAAAACGCATGCAATTACTGATATGTTAGCGTAGTCGGTAAACTTTGAGTTGATTTTTTGAGCAAAAATGAAATTCAAAAAGATTTATATTTTGCTTTATAACTAACAAAATGCAAACGACTTGTTCATGAATTTCTATAAAGGACAAAATCCAATGATTCAATGAATAATTTTAAGAAGTTCTTCAATTTTATCATCATGTACTCTCATAAAACAGATTTATTACAGAATCTCTACATAATATAATGATGCTAAACTCATCCTATGACAAATGTCAATAAAGAATCTGTTTTCTTATTAATCCTCTGTTAATATCAGTCATGTTTTCTTTTTTTTACAGACTAGCTTTGTTTTTATGCTCTTTGTTATCACTATAAGATAAAAGAAAAACTTGTGAATCGAATAAAAATCCTTTTTTTTCCAATTTCTTCCAACATAAAACAATTGAAAACCGAACAATAATAATAATCATAGTAGTAATCAATGTTACTAATAATATGTTTTTTTTTGAAACCGTGAGTAACAAACACGAAGAATATTAATTCGATAATACGCAAGACAGATAGAACATAGAAGAAGGAAGAAAAAGACAAAAAAGAAACACAAGAAGCCAAACAGTTATGCATCAGAAAAGGAATAGTAACAATAACAACAATATGAATTGATACTGTTTTACACCGTAGCTTTCTTTTTTCATGAAACTCGACACACGAAACAACAGTAATTACATATAGAGAAAATGAGTGAGATAATTTTTGAGATCATCATTCGCTCACTTAATCTAAAAAAGCAAAACAAGAAGAAAAAACAAGCAAAAGCACTGTTATCGTGTACAAAAAGCAATGTTTAAGAAACACAAAACACAAAGAATTTTCTTTCTATCAGGTTTTTGATGGATTATGAAAGAGTCTGGAAAAGAATTTTTGTGTTATTGTTCTTATTGGTGTTCGAGATGTTGATTGATTAACTAATGATTGAGATGAATTTGATAAAGGATTTACTTGTTGTTCATCTGTTTTTATAGTTTCACATGATTCTGTTGTTATACTTTCTGTTCTTGATAGACAAGCTATTGAATGCGGTCGTAACGAGCAAAGAATCGGCGATGAATTTGCTGATGATGAGGAAGACTTTCTATGATTATAAAATCTTGTTAAAGATTTACCGGTTGTATATAGATGATCACGATCAAGCGATGGATCGATATCATTAACGGTTTTATTTGGCGGAGCTGCAAATGTTCGTTGCAGTTGTTCTTGTTGTTGATCTTCAAATGTTTGTTTTTTCTTCAAGGAATTTTTTCTTTTCGATTGGGACGTCTGATTTTCGTGTAAAGATGATGTTAATATAGCCGTATTAGTAAATCGATTTATTCTATGATGTTTATCAAGTATAGGCGGTAATGAACGTGGAACTTTTTCACCATCATGACTACGACGAACATGCACAGGATATTGAAAATTTTCATTATGATACCCATGCGCAATAAGGCCATATTCTTTGACTTGTTGCATTTTAAGATCAAGTTCGTGTATTAATGCTTTGGACATCGTTAAATTATCCATATGAATAATTGAATAACAACGACGAGCTTAACAAAGAAAAAAAAACGAAAATGATTATTACGATGATTACTTGTTTTTCTGTTGATTACATATCTTTTACTCATGTTAAAAGATGGAGAGGAGAAAAAAGGAGAAACGTCTGATTAATAACTGAAACATTGGATATTAATGTGTTTTTTGTTGTCACGGCATTTTCACTCGTTTTGATTAACACGTTTGGAAAACTAATATTTAGTGTGCGCGATTTTTACAAAAAACAATGTTTACCCCACTACACAAAAATATATTTATTTAGTGTGTTTTTCTTCTTCTTTCTATTTCAAGTAAAATCGGTTTTATTGAGTTCGTTTATTTCACGGATGCAAGTATTTCTACAGTCATATTCGCTCTATAAACGAGAAGAATTCAGCATCGCATGCTAGTATGTTTGTAATAAATTGTCTATTAAGAAAACGCAACACTCGTTGAAGGGCAAAAAATCTGATCACGTCTGCCATTTTATGATGATAACTAATGTCATTGCCATCCGAAGTGCAAACCAATAATAAAATTTTCTGACGAAGGCAAAAATCCTTTTGAGTTAGAAATAAAAATGCCTATGTACGACTGCGAATTTGGTACTTTAAATAAAGAAAAAAGGCGACGAAGCCTCATTACTCAATAACAATCAATCATTAGTGTCAATAATAAGTATATATAGGCGTCTGTATTTTGATTTTGAAGAATAAAAAAAAAACGCATCTCTGGTTGCTATGTAATTTTTCTAACAATAATTACATTCGTGAAACTGATTCTTCAAAACAACAGGAAATCATGACTTCACTATTATAATTTAAATATGCATATGCACTAGAAAAGAACTTAGGTGTTTCGTTTGTCATTAAAAACGTATTTTCAGAAGCACTAAAATGTCTCGCGCCGCAATATATCGCGTTTTCGTCGTTGTGCAACTTTTTCATTAAAATATTCAAATAACATTCGTTTTTATTGCATATGATTTACTAGACACATAAAACTATTTCTCGCCCGAAAACAAGAATGTCTACGCTTTATATTATAAAACCACTCAAAGAAAACAGAAGAAAAGAAACAATGGATTAGAAGTAGTAAATTCCATTCAACTATTTTTTATTCACTAAACCGTCTCATGAGATCCTATTCGAATATTTTTCAAATACATACGTGGTATTGGATTTACTTGACGACGATGGCGTTTGATTAATTGCTGTGATGTTGGTTTAAGATTAATTGATCGATGTTGAACCAGCACTGCGCCGGTAGCAGTCATAACGAGGAAAGAATGAACAGCAGTGTTAACAGTGAATAAGAAATTCTTTTGGAAAAACGATTAAGCATCGGCTTGTTTCAAATAGATTTTTGTTTTAATAATAAAAATGTTAAAGAAGATAATCAAACACTTTTTTTACACATGCTCAGTAACAAACATCGATTTCAGCCGATGATCTAAAACAGAAATTTCATTAAAAAAGCATTAAATAAAATGAGTAGAAATCAAAAGAAAAAAAAATAGCAAAATATTCATCAAGAGGAAAAGGATGAAATTTGACGGATGAAATGAGTCAAATTTCGAAGACGGTTTTTTCAATAATATTTGCCCTGTATTTTATTACGAAATCTGAAACACGTCTATGAAAAGGTTACACAACTAAACACACGTATTTTCAGCAGAGAACAAGAAAAGAGAAAAGACAACTCTTCTATAAATATATATATCGAATCAATGAAAAAACATTATTATTTGTGCTAGGATAATTGGAATTCTTTAAAATCTCTTATCTATTCTTCGGAATAAATGAATGACAATAAAGTTGCTAGAAAATAAAATAGACTAATAGCTTTTTCCGTAGACATGACCTAGACATAAATATAAAAGTGAGTCAAATGTTTTCTGTCTGGATCATTCTTACCAGTGTCAATGGATATGTCAGACAGGCAGACAGACAGACGGAAATTATTGCTTTCACTTCAATTTCATTTTTTAATGTCCATCTGTTTTCAATGATAAAACATGGACATCTCCATTGGCATATTTATTTCGTGTATAATTGATAAATAGATATTCTTTTTTTGGCTCTTAAATGTGTTATTTTAAATCTAACTTACATTGTATTTTTTTGGTAATAAAAAAACAGAAGTTTAGTTAGTCTAACAGTAAACGAGTAAGTGACTGTAAGTAACAGCGAATACGACTAGACGAGTGACAAAACGGGAGAAGCAGGCGCAGCTAGACAAACGGCAGACAGCTATTTTTTTTCTTCTTTCTCTTCTCCAGTCGATTTACTCTCTCTCGAGCACTGTCTAGCCGTCGCCGACGTATTTTTTCATGTAGTGCGTGCGTTGAATCTCTTGATTTTTTTCTCTCCGTTCCTCTTGCTTTCGCGTCTGTCTGCTTTATGTGTGTGTGTGTCTGTGTATATATATATATATATATATATGTCTGCGCGTCTTGTGATGATATAATATATAATCATCATCATCATCATTCTCTTTTTTTTTCGGTGCACTGCTGAGTATGTCTGTCGTGTCTATTTCCGTTATCGGCAAAATGCACCAGACAGAACCCATTACAAATGACTTCGATCATTGTGAAATGAATGATCAAGTCAATTTAAAATGAAAAAAAATAAGAGAAAAAGAACCTGTCGAAGCCGAAAAACAATGGGAGAGAGAGAGAGAGAGCGTGCGATAGAAAGAGGATACAACCGATGAAAATGTAATGATAAGTGATAGCTAGGATAAACAATGAAAAAGAGAAACAGGCGGCTTATTCGTTATCGTCTAGTTTGCATTGAAATATAAAAACTATTGTTCTTTTTTTAATATTGGTCAAAATTCTTCAGCTGACCTACATAATGCAAATGTTTAAACTTCTTCAGTTGTTTTTTCTTTCAAGGTTTATTTGTATATTTATTTTCTATAAAATCCAATCGAACGATAAATAACAACGGATTAAATTCGTGCTTTGTTCTGTTTTGTACACATGAAAAAAAAAATATATATATATATATATATTTAAAATGTATTTTAATTGAAAAATCTTTAATTTACGTGATTATTACTTAACTTCTATGATTAATACTAGAAAAAACTAGGGTCATGATGATCGCAGACATGATTAAGATCGACTGCAGATAGAAAAGGAAACAAAAAAGGAAACAGCGGAAATGATGTCGACTTGCTAGATTTTCTTCATGATAAAGTATAAAACGAGACCATAATAGATCTGGATTTTACTGAATCAAGGCACTCAATCATCGTTCTTATTTCCTTTGCCTACTCTCAAAGAATGCAATAACTAAATAGATTCGAGACAAAATTTTATTTTATTTTGTTTCTTTGGTTATTATAACAGTTAATATCTGATGAACAAAATAAAATAAAATTTACGCTGTCAACACAAACACAACAAATAATAACGATTGATATTAATAAATCAAATGATGATGGGTTTTTTATTGTCATATATCAGAAACATCCGCTTCGATCAACAGAATACGAACCCTTCAGTACTAATACGATCAACAAAATAGTACGCGATAAAATATGTTATTCAATACTGTCACCTGAACCATGTAAACAATAATTTGATTTTTATCTAATACGACGTCCGATGAATTATCTTCGATCTAATAAGTAATGCTAGGTAAGAATTGTATAAGAAATGATTTGTTTACGAACTATTTTTTAAAAGCAAGTCAATATGTTGTAGGATGTTTGCGTTCGATCTACGTTCTTCAGACAATTTAGCCAAGGGCATCAACTTCATTCTGATACAATCGTCTACACTCGTTAGTTTTTTACCTGGACACTTGACATATTCTTCAGCGCCTTTCACGTTCGGCTATGTATGAAAAAGCAGAGCATGAAGCAATTCTAAGCATCAAATGATTCACATGAAAGAGAAGAAGAAAAAAAATGAGATGAATGTGGAATCTAATTTAATATACGTATAGGCGTTTGTATTTTCTTCTTTCGTCATCATTCGATTTACTCACTGTGTATATATGTATCTAGTCAGACAGGCTAAATACAAACATGTAACTACTAGTCGTCGCCGCCGCCATCGACGATGTCTAGACTGTGACGTAATAGATTGAGTGGATGAAAATGATGAAGGGAAAGAACAAGAGGAAGAGGGATAGTGAAGTGAGATGGTTAATACTCCAACGTCTGTCTTGTCATTTTTTCCTTTTTTTGTCTGTGAGAATGCAAAAAAGCAAGAAAAATGCAAGCCATTTCATCAGTAAAGTGGCTTAGGTTAGACAAAATAAAATTACAAGTAGAATCTACGGATCTCTTCACTGATGAATGTAAATAAATAAAAAAAAGTAAAGGATACATAAACGACAACATGTCATAATATATTCTCCGATTCAAATTGGTACAAATATTTAATGTTCTTTTTTCATTTTCTTTCGGTGAATATACGTACTTGTCAGTATTGTTGACATGAAGTTTTAATTAAAATAAAATACCCCACAACATTTATATTATTTAACGGTTCTGAAAATTTAAAAAAGCAAACATTGATCTAATACATACATAATTAAAAAAATTGTCTCATTAGCATATTGAAATTGGTCTCCTTTTTTTCTGTTTTTGATTCTTGTAGTGTTTTATAAATCGGAAAGTATGTGAAGTAAGGTTATAAATTAAGAATGCCTATTGATGTTAGTACGAAATTTTTTTTCCGGAATCAGTATACGTGGTAACAAAAACATATTGTCAAACAATGCAAAAAAGAACTCTACTAATCGGATTATTTCCTAGAGAAGAAGTACCGTAAAAAAAAATGTTATTCTATTCTTGAGAAGAAAAACAGCAGAAAACGTAAAATCGAAAATTTCTTTTTCTTTAACCGAAGTCAAATCTTTCGCATAGAATAAAACATTTATTTCACAGCTTGAATGTGTAACGATCATAAAAATCGAAACAACAGAAATGATCTTCAATATAAATCTGAATAAGGTGATATCAGCACTTGGATTTGTCGATTTAATGACTTTATCTTCATTTCTTACATTGCACAGTAACACAAGAAGAAGAAAAACAATAACAGTACAATTCCCGAACATAGAAAGCAAATAAAGAATGATAAAACCAATCAAAAACGTGACCATATTGTTCATAAAATAATCTAATCTGATATGAATTAAAACGCATATCTACTGTCTTGTGAATTGTCACACGCATTTCAATTATAGGATATTGATAAAAGGCCAACTATTGAGACTACAAACAACGAATGGTTTGAATAGTAGTTTGATTATTTTGTCGTACTAAGTTTATCTTAACTATGGCTTCTAGTGAACACAAGTTATTAGCGGTAGTGATCGTGTGACAGTCAAACTTTGCAAATCAATCTGGCGCTTTTTTTTCTTCATTTCAATCAATTTTAGTTATTGCAGATAGTTATTCAATGTAATATATCGAGCGCATGTTCCCCCGTAATAAAAGAAAAAACATTGCTATGGCAAAATATTTTTATAACCAGACAGATGTGTCTAACCACATTTAATCATTCGAACAAAAATATTTCTTTTTTCTTCTATTACAGTACTTAACAGAAGCACAAAAAAAGAAAAAAACAGGGCACAATATACTTTCTTCTAAAATATAGAGATTTCCCAAGTGCTTTATTCTCTGACGTGTTCATGTGCAATAAATAATCAATAAAAACTGAAACAATCGATTTCTTTGTTTTTGAATCATTAAAATAACCTTGTGAAACCGTGAAGAACTCTTTTTTCTATAAATAATAAAGCTAATTGATTTTCATCTCTATGCTCTACAGTTCCTTACTGAAAGTATTTTTTGTTAATGACCTCGAATTTAACAGGTTAGACATAGCCCGTTTCTCCCAAAAAAAACGAGACTTAAAAAAAGAAAGAAAAAGCCCAACCCCGCACGTTAACTATCAAGGGACTAAAGTCAACAAGCGGTGGATGCTAGTAGATCTAAACTACATTTGCATATGGCCGTGCACAGATGCATTTCATATACCTATGTTTAATATTGCTGCTCGATCTAATTGTTAAATTTACAAATGGTACTGAACAAAATCGTTCGACTAATCAAACATTTCAATGGCGTAAGAAATCACAATAAAGAAAGCATAGACAATGAGATGTTTTTGTTTTTTGTGAAGTATAAAATTTTCTTTTCTGTCTTCAAGGTTGTCATTTAGTGAGTGAACGTCGATTAGATTGTCAAAACTTATACAATTTTTATTTTTCATCACATTCATTCTGTGCAGATGATGACGGTTTATTAGGTCGGCAAAATATAGATGAATTACATATTTACAATGATTATAATTGTTTCGATCATGAATTTCAATGCTATTTCGAATTCGATTCAACGTGGACTAAGTGTCTTCAATCGTTGAAAAAATTAGTTATAGAAAATTTAAGTTTTATTGTACGATATTCGGATACACAAAAATTATTACCTGTTGATTATCTTAAAATTGTTAATGCGCATGGTAGTATAACCGAACTATTGGGTCAATTCGAATTTTCAAATAAATCAAGTATCTACATACAAAATCCTCATCCGAGATGGTCAGGAATGGATCTCTATGCGATTTATTTAAAATCTGCAACTGTTAGATTAAAACAATTGTGGATTAATGTTCTCGATTGGTATCCGATTGCTTATTTGAGATATGATCAGATGGCATATCTTCGACTATGGTTACTTAACATTCGATGTATGTAATTTAGATTATCTTTGCTACTAGTTTTGCCCCTCTCTATTCAACAGACAAAGAACGGCGAAGTTTTTATTATTTACCAACTTGAAAAATAGTTTTGAATCGTATAGAAACAAGAAAAGATGCTGTTTACTCTTTTAACAAAGAAGTTTTGTCGATTAAGCTTGAAAGAAGAAGAAAAATAGTCGATAGCAAAAACATAGTTTTCCTTTCACACGGGCATTATTGTTTGTTAAGAATGAGAAAATGCATTGACGTGCATGAGTCAATGAAAGGCACTTATTGATTGTACTCGATATTTACTAACAATAACGTGCCTATGAACCTTCGCAAATGTCCTTGCTTCCAGTGTAAAACATAAACAAACATTAGCCTTGCTTAAAATATTACACCATGAATGAGCATATCCATCTTTCAAAAAAACTTGGTTTACGATCGAAATAACTTTATTCTAGATTGAAGCCTAATAAACGAGGCAATCTGATTGCTCTCATTCATAAAATGTAAGCTGAAAAGTGCCAGCCGTTTAACTGAATGCTCTTGCATTTTTTTCAAAACTCATCAAAATAGACACGAATTCTTAATATCTCCAAGGGAATTATGCTAGAACTGTCTGTTCTCTATTCCAATAGGATCCTTACTAAGCAAAATAGGAAATTTCAATCACCTCTGATGGGATATAGAATATTTATTGGAAAAAAATTTTTTTTTATTTATCATAACAACCTTAATTAGAAGAGTTTTTTACAAAATCGATTTTATTCTTTCTAATTTAAAAAACTCGTCCTGTCGTGTACAGTTATTTCCTTGGCTCAGACACGTACTCTCCTATGAGTGCGTGTGAAAGGTATATCAACTAAAATAGAATCTTATCGAGGGTTACACAGGAAATTAAAGTCTCGGCTCGCTTCAGTGCTATTAGTTCCTGATGTAACTGCAGGCTTCCAGTTTTGATCATTTTCTTGGTTCAACTTATATTTTTGACATGTTTCTGTTATGCACTAGTTTTTAATTCTGCGTGAACCTATGATCTTATCAAAAACAATCTATTTAAGAAACATCTAGAGAATTGTCTAACCAATGTTTAAGAATTTCAATTCTATCATAAAGTATGCAAGATCACAGTGAAGGTTTTCATTTAGAAAAAATGCTGCCGGTGCACTGAATGTCTAGTCTCTTGAATGGAGTGCCTGAGTAGGAAATCCTATACTCGAATTTCCATTCCTCACGTTTTACGATTTACAAAGACTAGAAAGCATTTCTAGAGGTAAAAAAACAACGTTGTTTTTTTAGGTCTTCATATTGAATTAGGCGATTGCAGGTCATATTACCATGACATGATAGTTTTACGTGATTTATTTGGTTCTCGACAAGAAATTACTAATGAACTATATTGTTATTCATATAAAGGCGGCAAACGTTCACATTGGTCACAAGTTCCTGAATTATGCTACAACTATATAACGCCAAGACGGTCATCATCTAATTCATTATCGACGGCAGAATTACAGGAAAAATGTTTCGACCAATTTACAAAAGGTAACGATCTTATTTCAATAAATATAATTTCTAAAGGAAAGCGTCAATTCCTTCGGATTTATTTTAGACTACTATACAGTGAATGCAAATACAGATCTTCTTGAATTATATTCAAATTTTCGTAAATATGAATCACATTCAATACCATTATGGACAGTATATTCATATGCAACATTACCAAACTTACCAACCACTTCGACAATCGCAACCATAACAACAGCATTCGCCAATCGACGACCAGTACATCCATCTACAATAGATTATTTAAATATATATAGTTATGCATTCGCATCAAATGAAACACGTTGGTTATCATATGTAGAAGCTTATCCTGATGGGAGATTTATAATAATTGATAATAAAAATCAACAAATATTATTACTCAATGAAAATGGTACATTTCGTATTGATTTAACGCCAATATATTTTCGTCAAATACAAGCGAAACTTGATGAATTAGCTCCACAACCAAATGTTCATAGTTCTTATTCATTTTCAAAACTACATATTGATCAAGATGGATATACTTATTTAATTCCAACACTGGCTTATTACATATACGTGTTTTCTCCTCATTACCGTCTTATTCGTTGTCTAACGCCACAACTATTAGGTATATCTTCAATGCGTAGTGATTGCCTTACAACTACGCATACAGGTTTAATTTATGCATGTGACGATGCTTATCGAGTTATAAGAATTTATTCGCGTATGGGTATTCCTCATAGAACAGTGAGGTTAGATTATTTACCTCTCAAATTATTTATTAGCAATAATCGAATGTTTACTTATTCGCTTGAAAATTTAGCTACGATACAAATGTATACACTAACTGGTGTTCTAATTAAGAAATTATCAATGTGTTCTTATAATGTACCATCGGAAGTGAATTGGTTCCGAGGTAAATATTTTCTCACCTGTGGCACTTATCTTTACGTTATCAATGAGCAAGGAGAACAATTAGCTGAACATAGTCTTCAACAATTACTCGATTATCCTAATTCATTAGTCACGATACATGATTTTGCTCTGAATAAAAATGGTATTATACTTGCTACATTTCGGCGTAATGGAACACTATTTAATCGTTACTGGATAATTAAACCGGCAACTTCCTAAAACATAATTTGGCAAGCAAAAAATAAAACAACACATTTTTTTCCTTTTGCTTTTTATTTTTTAATCTTCCGGTCTTATTAAAATAGTTTATCAAGCAAGTAATATAGAACGTACGAGTGTTCCATTTCTTTTCTTTTAATCTTTATTGCAGACGACCATTTAGAAGAAAGACGAGAAGTAAAAGAGAAACCATGGCACCGTGTGCTTATATCTGACAAAAGAAGAAAAGTTAACCGGCAATATGTTCCTGAGAATAAACTATCTGACAGCCAAGGAAAGCGTGAGAGAGACAGAAAAAAAATAGATGATGATAATGATGATAAAGAACGATATCACGTTGCTGTACATACACACAAAAGAAAACGTAAAAGAAATCTTAGCTGTTGATACACCGGTGAGAAAGACACCATCATTGCACGCTTCAAGGAGAAAAAAAAGAAAGAAGAATCAAAGCAACGCACGCACGCAAACACACATACTTACTACTGAAAGGGCACAATATCGACTTGGAAGTTTTTCTTGTTTAGATAGATTTATGAATAGAAGTGATCTGAGCGAGAGAGAAAAAAAAGAATACTAGAACAATGAATTGAGCTGAGGAGAAAGAATATATCAATATTCGCTTGTCATGGATATATCATTCATGGCTGACATGGCTTGATACTGTGCTGGAACCGGTGGTGGTCCCATCGAATAAAGATACGGAGATGGAACATACGCATGCTAAAACGAGAAGTTGTTTTTGTTTTCTCTATTGAATAAATCATATCAAATAAATGACATACTCCATTGATTAATGGTCCATTTGGATGATGGGTTGGACTCTGAGCATAGAATGTTGGATAAAAAGACGGTGGTAATTGCTAAATATAAACATAATCGTCATTTGAATGACACTATTTAACAATAATATTTACCGGATGATGCGGTGTCGTTGGGCCTTGAGGTAATATGTAAGTGCCAGTCATGGGAACAAATGGCATCTAGATAAAAAAACAGAGGGTCGTTAAATTTAAATGGTTAACGAATTTTACATTTGCTTGTACTGGAACAAAGATCGGTGGATAAACACCATGATGTGCTGATAGATGTTGTTGATAGGGTGTGGATGGTTGTTGAGATATTCCATTCGATGCTGTTCGTGAAGGTGTTGCTGGTGGTGTCATTGCCGGACCATTCGATGAATAATAGGACGTAGGACCTAAATAAAAAGTAGTTTTACGTGATCAACAGTACAACTATCGGGGCACTATTCTATCTCTGTATTAGCATCTTTCGTAGTTTCGCTGTGACATCTACACGGTCATAATACATGCACAATAAAATACTGCTCAATACTCGAATCTATTACTTTGTAAGAATACAATTCCAATGGAACATTCATACGTTCGTCAAAAACAATTACTTTAAAACTTCCGAGAGTAAGCTACTATTTCATAACATACTTGTTACTGAAAGAACATTCGGTTTTTTGAAAGCAGGTGCAAGAACAATTGGACGGTTTAGAAATGTGAGTGGTGCAATTGCATGTTGACGAAGTACGTCTAAGGCAGTATTTTCGTTCACAAATGAAATAAATGCAAAATGTCTAAGAACAAAAAAGAAATAGCATTCTTTAGTAAAACCCAAATGCACACTTACGTATTTTCTTTAGCAATAATTTTCACATCGTGTACAGCACCAAATGATTGAAAACAGTTTTCAATTTCAGCACTAGTCGTCTTTAAAAAAAGATGAAGAGTTAAAAAATGCTTTTTTTTTATTTTCTTTTTACTTCACGAGGAAAATTTTTCATAAATAACCGATTTGCAATCAGTTGACTTTGTCGTGGAATTTTTGCATCATTTAATTTATTGATCAGATTAATATGTTCTTGACTCGGCATTTTAGCGCCGGTCGATTGATTTAAATCCATTTGACACAACAAACAACAGTAACAAGTAAAAGAAGAAGAAGAAAATAAAGAATGATAAAGTAGATTATATCTCGAAAAATGACTATCTCTTCTTCTTCTTCGTCCGTCTTGAATTTCAATTAAACAATGTTTGGCTAAACGCTAGTCTCATTTTCGTTCAATCACAAGATATTTTATCCATAACAAATGCATTAATGCTTTAAACTTATCTGATTGGTTATACAAAGATTAACTGTTATGGCCTATAGATTTTTTCGGTTCCTTTATATAATATAATAAAAAGTGAATTTTCCTCATTGCTCTTGTTATCAATATCTTTCCATTCGTGATATTTTTGATTTTATAAAAAAATAATATTCTGTTGAATTATACACTAACGAGGTGTTTTCATATATAATTATGATATTATCCAAATGAAAATATAAGATAATTTTGGCATAATTGGTTATCTATATATATCTATATATATATATATTATTTCTATTGATTATGGCTAGTTTCTAATTGATATTAACATACAAACAAAAATAATCGATCTGATGTAAGTTCTGTCGATTGCTAGGGTTGAGAAAAGATTTCATTCGTTAGCAATAGAAGTTTGCGATACGGTTAACCGTCATAAAAAATTGTCTGCATTATTTTTGTTGAGATTATAATGCAAGTGTTGGAATGTTAGATTTGAGTATAATTTTGAAATTTTTACGTATGTTTGATTCCTATATCTAAAATTTATCCGATTCTTATTTATCATTTGTTTGGAAGAATAAGAAAATTAGTTTAGGTTTTTTTCATATCACAGATAATACAGTAATAATATGTTTTATTGAATATAACTTTTTTTTTTCTAAAATTGCATTATTTATTTTTCAGTCATCAAAAATGAATAATATTGAACAAACACGTCTCGCTCGATTACGCCCAGAAAAACTCGATGATGTGTCTCTTAAAGAACAGATATCTTTGGTATAAAATTCGAGATTATTTTTCAATGCAAAAAAAGAGTTCATTGTTATTTTATTTATTTAGATACAAAAAGCATGTGACAATGTTAATCCTGAAAAAATTGCTCTTGTCTTTCATGAATGTGATTACAATATGCAACAAACAATAAATCGATTACGATCAGGAGATTTCGAAGTAACGCTAGAATTTTGCTTAAGAAAAAAGATTCTATTCTGTTTTGTTTTGTTTCGTAGGATGGTGGATGGCAAACAGCTAAATCGAATAATAAGAAGAAAAATCATAATCAAGTTGATCAAAAAATAAATGGTGGTATTAATTTAAGTGATAGTGAACGTTCTCTTTCGCAAAGAACGTCGCCAACGTCATCACTACGTGATGGACCTCATCGAAATGATCATTATCAATATCCTTCAACAACGCGTCCTAATATTGGACGGCGTGGTAAATTATTTCTGTTACTGTGTTTATGTTTATTAATTATTGTTGTTATTTTTTTTGCTTCTAGGAAATGATTCTGGTCGTAGCCATTTTATTTCATCTTATCTACGTTATCCACAACGGAATAGGCCAGTAAGAAAAGCAACATCATCTCAACCAATATTCAATGAAACATCTTTAATACCTAAACAATCAAATGAGGTACCACCACAAGCAAAATCGCCATCAACAGATGAATATGAATTTGCCGATGGTATACCACAATCATTAAGTTTTGATAATAGTCAAATGAAAACATCATTGCAAACTCTATCAAAACGTCAAGTACCTTCCAGTATACCACACGAACCTGTATCAATGCATCCAACACTTCAATTTCCAACGGAACCCATTGATATTCAATTTGGGGATGTTCAATGGAATGATTCTGTGCCAATAGCAGTTAGTCCGTCCAATAGTACAATTGAACAGACAATAGTACACAATCAGGAAGAAGAAAAAGAAGAAGAAATCGTAGTAATTGAAGACACTTATAATCATGACCAAAATCACGAGTAAGCCGTTTAAAATCAATTTTTACTGATAGTAACGAATTATCTGTACAAAAATATTCGATCATTTATTCAAAGTGGTCAATGAGAATTCGTCCAACGTGCCAAAAAGTATACTAATTTACAGTTCTGTACCAGTGACCATTTCAGTTATGATGATCGGGTCTAGTTAGACAATATTCACGATCTATATAATAGACAGTTATCTGTTCGAATTTTATTTTCGTGCCTCATAGAAATGCTTTTGGAGAATCGAATCAACAGACTGTCAAATTAATTTTAGAGCCCTCTATCACCTTATATGTCTGTGTGTGTACTACAAGAATAGTTCAAAACGATTTCGATTCTACTCGATAAACTTAGTAGAAAATCGAAATGATGAATCATTTCAAAACAATCATTATTTTATCGATATTTGATTTCTAATAGAATAATTTTCAAATTTCAGTGTTCCTGATTCTTCAGTATTGAATTATATGAATCATCAAACATCGAACGATGTTCATAATGCATTACTTGAAACAGCAAATCAACTTGCATCTTTATCCATTACTGATAATACTATAGTAATAAACATTTTAATTTTCCTACATATGTCGTGTCGAAGTTACACTGTTAGCCGAAGTTAAATTTCGACACGACATACCATATTGATTTTAACGTATACACTATCTTGCTTGTTTTAGTCTGATGGTTTACTAGTTGTTCCTCCAGAAGGTACATCTCATTTATCAGATCATTTAGCTAATACACCATCTTCTACTCCTAATCAATATTCATCTCAACCACAAGCTCCAGCACCCATTTCCATAGCACGTTTACCACCTACATCAATACCACGTGCTCCCGAGCCTAATTCAACTAATTCTCAATTTATGTTAAGTAATCTACAACAGACTAATAATGGTATTCTTTCATCAGCATTTACTCCACTTAATACTGTTGTTAACTATCAGTATGTATAGTAGTGAAATATTGTAATATTAATCTATTCTCTTTTTCTTCATAGACCTGTACCAAGGGATTATTCTCAGACAGCAGCAACAAACTGGAATCTACAAGCATCAAATTATAAAACAAATTCAAAGTCAACCATGATTCCAGCAGGCACATATCAACAACAACAACAACAACAACAGCAAGCCTATCAAATACCAGCGCAACAACAACAACAACAATTTTTTTTTGGAGCCTATCCCTACAATGCTTTATCACCAGCAGTAAAATTCATTCAATATATAAGTTTATCATTAATAAAACGTTTTTTTTAAATTTCAGGTCGTTCCAGTATTTGCCTCAGTAGATCAATGGCCAGCAGGTACATTTTCAGCGCCATTCGAATCTTATCCATATCCAACTCCTAGTAAGAATAATATTCAATATATTGTTTAAAAATATTTTTGTTTTTTAAATTTTATTCTAAACTAGATTACATATCAGCATATCCAAATCTACAACAATATGCTATTCAAACAGCTAAATATGGTTAGTAGTAATTATTTTCATGATTATCCGTAATCTATTGTTTTCTCATTTTAGATCAACAGCAGTCATATGATAAAGAATATTTTGTACATTATGGGCAAGCACGTTCATTGAATAATGATGCCTCATATCCGCAACAACAACCATCACAACCAATAAAAGATACTCATGCAACTAGTAAATTATCACCCAATGCAGCAACATTCTGTCAGGGAGCTCCATTGACGGTATCACCAACGACAGCAACAGCACTCTACATAAATCCGGTCGGATATCCCATGCCAAGCTATTTTCCATCAGTACCTGGATCGATACAACCAGATCGAATATTGTCTTCTATGGATAATCACGTGAGTAGTTGTTTTTGTTTCTTCATAACTTGTATTTTCACTAACAAAAATACTTCGACTGTAGATGTGAGCAACTACTGAAACTTTTCTATTCATTTGATTGTATATTGAGAATAGCCCTTCAAAAATTGTCATGATTGAATAGATCCCGGTAGTGTCATTCTTCCTCTAAGAGAGCTTAATAGAAAAGACTGTCAATAGATGCAATTGTCAGAAACCGATATTTGCTTCTTTTTTTCATAGGATAATCGCAATGGTGCTTCATATAGTAGTACTAACAATCGAAATAATTATTATCATGCACAACAACAGCAGCAACAACGTACACATAATAACAATGGATCAAATTCTACCTGGCATTTGCAACAGTAATGTTGAAACATGATCATCGCAGCAACTGTTGTAGTTCATTATTTTATTTTTTTTCTTTATTATCAAGCAACACTCCCATACTTTTTTTTGTTCTTCATATTCAACTTTTGTCTTCTTCTTTTTGCTTCTATTAAAGAAACCAGTGCACAACATTGATTGATTGGATGCAACAGCAATATCGATGTTAGCTATTTTCTTTTATATACGTATATATATATATATATATACTATTAAAAACATCTTGTGTCTCGAAAGAACAAAAAATAAAAGTTTACTTTTCCCTTATTTATCTGTCTCTTTTGTTGGTTTTTGACTTTCTTTTTTCTTCTTTCTTTTTCTTTGTGATAACGAACATGTTCCTATTTTAATTTTTGTCGAAAACAAACAAAGCACATCTTTTCCAACATTTACTTTAATTCATCATTAGATTCTAAAGAGACAGAAAGATATTAATTCCTAATAAATAAACAGAGGACGAAAGAGATTTTATTTATTTAGATGTTTAATAGTAATTTGAATTGGGATGGTATACCAACGAAAATAAAACGAGCTATTGAAACAAGTCTTGAACATCTAGATGAACATAAATTTACAATAAATGATACAAATATTGAAGTTATCGATGATTATTGTTGGGATTTAAGTAAGTGATGGTTATTTTAATTGATGAATGCATGATTGATGTTTTCGTATGATTTCAAAGGAGAAAATAATTGAAACTGTAAAAAGATCTCTTCCTTTCTAAATTATTCGACTATTGATGGAGGTAATCTTTAATTTTGTTTTTTTAGTTACGTGCCATTTAAAACAACTTCTTTACATGAATATAGCACATAATAAAATAAAAAGTAAGTACTCAACACTACAAAGGTATACTTTTGTCATGTTTGACATTTTCTAGCTTTACCATCGCATATCGCAAATCTGAAATTTTTACAATCGCTTAATTTAACGAATAATCATCTTGAAGTATGATCTTTTTTTTTCTTTTCAAAAGTAATTTAGTATTGTATTTTCGTTTTTACAGAAATTACCGCCAGCAATAATTTCACTTTCTCATTTACGTATACTCAAACTTGGCCATAATCATCTTTGTTCATTACCGCGTTCATTCGGTTCACTTAAATCTCTTGAAATTCTTGATCTAACCGGCAATGATTTAAATGAGGATAGTGTAACAAATGACTTTTTTCAGCTAAGTAATAGCAAATTACCTTCTCAAGGTATTTTCAGCACATTTTTCTTTTACTATTCAAGGTAATTTACGCGCGCTTTATCTGGGCGACAATTTATTTGAAACATTTCCCAATGATCATATTGATAAACTACAAAGCCTAGAAATCGTACGTATAAATAAATTAGAATTTATTGTCAATGGATGGCTCTAGTGATGTATCGATCGATATTGCACCTTGTAACCATGAAATAAACTTTGGCAAATAGATTTGATAGAAAAAATACATATAAAATCCTGCAATAAACATAAATAATAACATCAGGCGTCCGAAAGCTGTTTTAAAAAATAAATGTTTTGTATAATAAGCAATATTATTCAAGGATGGATAACGTATCACATGTAATAATTCATGTCGATGACGATGTTGTTTATTTGAACGACGCGTTCGTCTAGCTGAGATCTAGATTGTATATCGAAATATGTGTTGTGTTTTTTCGAAAAGGAAATTCTACGTACGATCTTTGACGAAGAAGAATTTGGCATCGCTTTTTGTTTTACTTTCACGATTTGACATTCGATGCGTTTGTACGACGAAATCACTCATGCGAAACCAAATGTTTTTTATTTCTTTTAGCTTGTCTTACGTCACAATCGTCTACGTCATATACCTAAAGAATTCGCTCGTTTACCTCAAATTAAAGAAATTCATATTCAGCAAAATCAAATAAATGTTTTACCGCCGGCATTTGGTAAGTGAAAAAGAATTTTGTCTATGCGGATTTGTTCGAGTTTCTTCTTTTGTATGCATAGGTAAGCTTGATTTAGGTAATGCCAAGTATATTTATCGGTTTGAACCAAATCCATTCATTCCCGAATTGGCTCCGCAAATGAGTAATTTAACTCGATTAGCAAATTATTTGCAAAGCGATGGATATAGACAGATTTATCAAAATTATTTTTTAAATTTTGATGATAATGAAGCCAAAGAAACAATCAAAAAGCCGTCAAAGAAGAATAAACATGTTGTAACAAAAAAGTGAATAAAACTTTGTACTAATTTATGTTTTATCTGTACTATACTTTTATCAGATAATTTGTATGTGTGAGTTGTTTTTTATTTAATTGCTTCTTGTATGCATATGTGTGTGTGTGTGTGTGTTATGTCAGATGCATGAATAGCTGATACTGAAAGTATGATTCATATTTCAATGAACAAAATAATATGAAAATACTCAGATCTGATATTGTCTTTTTATTCCGACTAGAAATAACGTTGCATAGAGTGCCGTTAATACAAGACTTCAAAAATGTGAAACGAACAAAAGAAAGACTAATGGCGATCAATAATTTTCTTTCAATCAGACGCACTCTTATCTCGACATTTACACAAGACAATCCTTATTTGAGTTGGAGTATTATCCGCAATCACCATCGTTTATAAAGTGTCATTGGTTGTTTTGTTTCGATAAGAGAAATGTCGAAGGACAGAGAGAAAGAAATGCGTTTGATGAATTATTCAGGTCGATCAAATCCATGACGATCATAACTTCATAATTGAAAAATAGATTCGTTACGAAATTTGTAAAAATCGGCTCGAGCTTGAGTCTCATATAGAGTTAAAGTGAAGTACAGAAGTTACAGCGTAGATGACGCACTAGAAAAACAAAAAAAAAATAATATTTGAAAATGAAAGGTTTCCACAACGGAATTCTTTTCTTGGAATAGTTGTGTTTTCATCAGTGTTGGTTTCTTGAGAACGTTGGTAATATTTGCGAGAAAAGAAACATAAAGAAAAGCATTTTATGAATTAAAATATTTTTACAAAGCACTTTTATCGATTTCAATCAAAACAATGCTGAATAAAAGTCGAATTGAAATCAATAATTTTGAAGTGTTTACAATCAAATGATTTCAAAACTTGGATCAATTTTGAAGGCTTAAAATTTTTCTACCAAGTAGCTCGTTTACACAAGGAAAACTATGCACCCTATCTCGATTCAAGTGAAATCATGTAATATGCAAATAATGCATTAGACACACGCGATATATAAAAAAAACAGCTAACATTGTATAGATCAAGATATTAATAAAGCAAAATCTTAGACATGCAACTTCAATAAATCAGTAAGTTGCCACAGGCAAAGCATAGAGAATGGCGTCCTCTCTCGCAGCAGAAAAACAACTACCTTCGTCTCGAATAGCAACATAAATAGTCATGGTTTTTCTTTCTGCTGCCATATTTTCTTTTTTCATCGTATTCCAACAACAAAGCACTTGACATCGAGTGAGCCAGCAACATAACTCATGCCATTATCATACCATTATGTTAATACTGTTTCTTTCTTCTTTTTATACATTTGTTTTGCTTTTAGATTGCATATTCTATTAAAAAATCGCGGATCATGGCTGCATTGAATTCAAGTGAAACTGTTCGCGTTATCGTACGCTGTCGACCAATGAATCAACGTGAAATAGATTTAAAATCTCAAGTATGCTCTTGCTTGTATTTATATTTGACTAAATCCAGGAAAACAAAATAATTTTTTTGTCTCCTTGTTCTAGACAATAATTACAATGAGTACGCAATTAAATCATGTTATGTTAGAACATATTGAACAAAATAATGAGCCACCAAAACAATTCACTTTCGATGCAGTCTATCCAGTGGATTCTATAACGGAAAATATCTATGCTGATTCGGTTTTCCCATTAGTTGAAAGTGTAAATGAATCCAATTAGAATTAAAAGGATAATCATTGAAAAAAAAATTTTTTTTCTGCGTCTTTTAGGTTCTCGAAGGATACAATGCAACAGTATTTGCTTATGGACAAACAGGGTATAAAAAATAGTTTTTATTTCGTATTAATAATAAAAATCTGATTGGTAGCTGTGGAAAATCATTTACTATGCAAGGAATTAATACGCCTGGATCTCTACAACGTGGTGTTATACCGCGATCGTTTGAAGTAAGATGAGTTTATTTTCATTCAATAAAATAGAATTCAAGACGTTTTTTCGTAAAACTATAACTTTTTAGCATATATTCGAAGCATCGTCAGTTGCAGCTGGTACCAAATATCTTATTCGTGCATCATATCTTGAAATTTATAATGAAAGTATTCGTGACTTACTGGGTAAAGATGTTAAAGCAATGCTGGATCTCAAAGTAATAGAAAATTGTTTTTTTCAAATCTAAAAAAACAAAATATTCTATTTTACAAAAATCAAAACAGGAATATGCAGATAAAGGCGTACAAGTACCAAATCTATCATGGCATCAATGTACCAGTGTAGTCGAATGTGAACGATTGATGGATAAAGGCAATAAAAATCGTGCGACCGGTGCTACATTAATGAATAAGGATTCATCGCGATCTCATTCTATTTTTACTATTCTTACGGAAATGTGTACTCGAAGTGAACTCGATGGAAAAGATCATATTCGAGCAGGAAAACTTAATCTAGTTGATTTAGCTGGCAGTGAGCGACAGTCAAAAACTCGTAAGTGACAAGTTTTTTTATTATAAAATTTCTGCTTCGCCAAGCAAGATATTATCTATGACATCGAGCTTAAAATACAACGGAACCAAGGAGGAAAAAAACGAAAATTCTTCACATCAGCTGTTTTCAGTCTGCCATCGATCAGTGTCCTTGTACATTAACTTGCCGATGGTGAAGTGCGAAATTTTCGTTTATCCCCTTCAAGAATGAAATGCGAATTTAGTTCGATCGAAGAGATCATTGATATGTCTTTTGATATAAAATATTCATCGATGTATGCGTAAATCTAGATGCCGAAGGTGAACGTTTACGTGAAGCTACTCGAATTAATTTATCACTTAGTGCATTGGGTAATGTTATTTCTGCGTTGGTCGATAGTCATTCAAAACATATACCTTATCGAGATTCAAAATTAACACGTCTTCTACAAGATTCGCTTGGTGGCAATACAAAAACTTTGATGGTAAAATGAAAAAGAAAGGATTAGAATTTTTTTCATCGAAATAATTCGATTTATAAATAGATTGCAGCCATTAGTCCAGCTCATGATAATTATGAGGAAACACTTTCAACATTACGATGTAAGTTGGATTGTTTCTTGGTTTTTATTATTTAAATATGAATGTATTAAGATGCAAATCGGGCAAAAAATATTAAAAATAAACCTCACATCAATGAAGATCCACGTGATGCACAAATGAAACTATTACAAGAAGAAATAAATCGTCTTAAACAAGAACTTATTAATACGGGTGGTGTGACTCGTGGAGGCAATCAATTATTAGCATTCGATGGAACAGTAAGTTGATTTGTTTTATTAGAATTTTCTGCTAAATGTGTATGTTCATGAATATCTAACGCATCCCATGGATAGACAATCCATTCTCCGCTAACATTTTCTCCAACGAAGTAGAAATTATTCATAAGATCTTCTGGTAGATTTGCACGTTTATCAATTGTTTTGTTGTGTACAACAAACACACCTAATTTTGGTTCTATCCATTCTTCATCATTTTCTTTTGACAAAAGCTTTTGTTTTTCAATATCTTTTCGAAGTTCATTTACAGCATAACTTAATGTTGTACGTGTTTCATCAACTTCATCGACAATGAGAATATTTTGACCATTCAATGATACAGCTAATGGGTCATTTTTTTTATCGGTTGATATCCATTGAGTTTTATAGATTTCATGTTTTTCACTTTCGTATAAACATAATCCGATGGTTTGTATTGGTAATGATTTTCCACCTATTTCAGATTTAATAATATTTCGTAAGATTCGTGTCGGTAAAAACCCACCAGCACTTATAGCAATAAGAAGTGTTGGTGAAAACTTTTCGATTAATTTTGTACGTTCAACAGTTTGACGAATAATGTCATGCAATTGATTGTAAGAAATATAAATTTTGTTCGTTGTTTCATTATTGTTCTCGGACATGTTTCTTAGTTAAACACGATACTATGAACTAAAGAATAGAAAATAGAACGAGAAAGAATAATAGAGGAATGTGTAGGACTTCTTGTCTATGAATATTTTTTTTCTAGGGATCAAAGTTCGATCATGAAGAAGAAATCGAAAGAGAAAAAGAAAGACTACGTGCGGAATTCGAACGTGAAGCATCTGAATTACGTCGACAATGCCAAGAAGAACGTTTGACAAAAGAAGAATTACAGCGAAAATATGATGGTCTAAAAGGAGACTATGACACTCAAATAGACGCACTAGGTCATCATAGAAATAGCCAAGGAGGTTAGCTAATGAAATTTACTTTTCTATTCATGAACATCAAGAAAAAATGGAAAATTATTTCTTTGTTTGTTTTGTTTTGTTTATTATTAGATCAACAATCATTCAATAATGATCGTAATAATAGTAAAAAGAAAAATAATGCTAATAAACAAAAACGTGATGGACAAATGCCAGTCAATGATCAATATGAAAATGGTGATACTATGTCAGTGCCAATGGATGAAATGGATCCACAAGAAAAACTCGAACGTTTACAAGAATTAGAAAACAAACTTATCGGTGGCGAAGAATTAAATAATGAAGAGAGAAAAAAGAAACGAAAAAAGAAACTAAACGAAATGCGTGAAAAACAAGAACAAAAAAAACGTTTTACTAGAGCCATCGATACGAATAATGAGGATATGATGATGAGAGTATTCGATAATGCTCAAGAAGAGGTTTGTGCACATATCAAATTTTTTTATCAAAAACACGAAAATTATGATAAATTTATCATATGATATCATTAGTCATAATCTATTTCAAAAGCGCGATCGTCACAATAAACACTTTGATTGAACATCGAACCTGTATGAGAGTAAAACTTGAATATTCAGGCCACAGAGCTTTGACAGGTTCCTTGAAAAAATAAAATAAAATATATATGACGGAGATCTAGAGAGGAATTGTTTTGGATCCTGATCTAATGAGTATCGCTGTGGTTCCTGGTCGGTTAGATAGTTTATTTATTTTAAAACCAATTTCTTATCACATATAACAATTCTACTCTAGTCAATAGTTTAATCTTGTTGTACAAAAAAATAGGACTTCTCTAATTTTAGTTTTATGTTACATCAAAAAAATTGGAACAATCACTCACAGAAAATAAACGTTTAAAAATAGATAACGATGATTTACAACATGAATTTGAACGTGACCGACAAGGATATTTAAATACAATACGTGCACAAGAAAAACAATTGCTTCTTTATCGTACAATGCTTGAGAAAATGTCTAGTACCTTGCAACGTAATTGTAATTATTCAAATATTGATAAAATTATAGAACAAGCTCGTTATGATGAAGAACGAAATGAATATATTGTGCCAGATCCAATGAAAGAAGAAGTACAATTTCCTCAAGTTGGAAATTTACCAACGACAAATGGACGTACGCATCAAAATGATTTTGTTTCATCGTCAAAAACTGCATTACCACCATCAACTGATTATGAATGTGATTATACAATACCGTCTCAGATAAATAATGATTATCATAATCAAATATCAAATATGAACGCTGCAGAACTAGAACAACGTTATGGGCGAAATGTTGACAAATCAAATGTATCATTAGGACGAACACTTAATAAACGACAAGAACAATTATTAAATCAAAGTACGAAATTACGCCCATTACAAATGAACAATACAGACGATGATTATATGAATCGTCGTCTTAATCCATTTGAAGTGCCAGCACGATTAACACGTAAATATGGTTTTACAACAGACAAACAATAGAGCAAAACAAAACGCGCAACCCCCGTGCAGAAAATAGTTTTGTAATGCTACCGGTGATAGATAACCTGTGCTTTTTTTCCTCTCTATAATTACGCAATTTTTCCACAAAGCTTATGCTCAATCAAAATATGTGAATATATACTATTTATGATCAAATACATTCGATTACAACGTTGGTGATACTCTTATCAAGCTTCACTTGTATTTATTTTATTTTTTTGTTCGTATATTTAAAAAATATATAAAGTTTTGTTTCTTTTTAAAATTTGTCATGTAATATCTACGTCAATATGCTCATGTTTTAATGGAATCTTCGTTGATGTTGTAACAATCAAGATATTTTCACTTTTACCTTTATCATTTTAAATAAAACTCAAAACTAACAATCGCATTATATGAATAATAGCCTAGACGTTATTTATTTTCCTGAAAATCTATTTAAACACGAGCACAAAAAAAACATTCACATTAAAGCATCTCTAGTGAATAACAAGCAAAGTTCGATGCAGAAAGAAAAAAGCCATCGAACAAAATGCTCAAAAGACATACATCTGTTAAGGCCAACTTCATTGCTGTAAATCATAGATGTTCATCATCGAAGCCAATGACCCTATTTCAAAGTAATATCGATAGCGATTGCTCGGACAGGCAGAAAAATCAACTTCCTCGAATACGACACGATGTAGATATTTAAATTTGATAGCGTAATACTATTCACAGATTACCTTGTATGAATTCGTTGAAATATAGAAAATCAAGGACGTATTCAATTGAATATAGTACTATATAAACGATAATAACAACAAAAATAACATTTATTTTGCGTTTCACTGGTTAAGAGAAAAGTATTCCGCATCAATCTATAGAAAATTTTGCTGTCGCTCGGAAGCTAACGGCCTGGAAAGGATATGCAGGGTTTTCGCTTGAATGCACGTTCAAAGCTCGAACTTATTCTAAAAAAGACATTATTATTATCCATTGTTTTTTAGTGCAAAAATTTTCGATTGAAATATTACTGTTAAAAAGACGCGAACTTGAAGTCGATTGGCTCTTAAAAGGAACACCTGTTAAATTGAAGGTATTTTATTTTAAATGTATACATGACAATGCATGAGCATAGGAAAGCTTAAAATAACATATTTATGACTTTTTTATGAAATGTTCAAAATGGAAAAAAGAAATGTCACTTGAATAATTTATCTATATCAATACAAAAAAATTCTAATAGCATTTGTTTGCAGACTTCACTAATGTTTTTTCTTGAAAGAGAATATGTACTTCAATTATATTCTTTTCATGATAAATATTATAATGAAATTCTCTATATGCTGTATCCTGAAAATCATATCTTGTAGGTGTTACTCTCTTATTCTTTTATTTAAACTGAGCTATTTTGTTCAACTCCAAATGATCCAATCACGATAAATATGTTATTGTATTTTCAAAGAATAGAAAAAAGTCAGGCTTTCTTCTTCTTCTTCTTTTTTTTTTATTCAATAAAGAAGTTATGAACATAAGGATAAAGTTATTTGTATATTCATCAAACATGCATTTATATATAGATCACTGCAGATTTAACAATTTCTTAAGAGGATTAAGTCAAATCCTTGTCATAAACGAACAAGAACATGATGTCACATATTTTTTTCATCTGTTGAGATTTAGTCTTGATAATAATAATAATAATATACGAAAAACCTTCAGGAATAAATAGACAAAATCTATAATTAGTTTAGTTTATTTCTTTGTTTCCGCAAAATGTTGTCTAATCATTATTTATAGAATAAAATGCGACGAGAAAAGATTCGTTCAATTTTTTTTTCTTTTTAATTTTTGTCTCTCTTGATTGATGATCTAATATTTCTCACCCATGCTGTGTTTTCTGGTATATTCACACCTTGTCAGTCATTATTGTAAAAAACAAAATGTGTCAATATTGTTCACTTTTCTATCATATCAATAGCAAAATAGAAAACTAACTCGATGAATTATTTCTGTACACTGATAATAGAGTGTTAATGTTCAACTAAAAATTCAATTGACAGATACTGAGAGGTAGATAGGTAACATACACATAATGCGTACGATTTATATATTCGTTTAGGTCAATGCAAACCAAGAAGAAGAAGAAGAAGAAAGAGAAGAACAGAAAACTCGATAGCAATCGTCACTTTTTTATTTCATCAACCGACTTGATTGGTGTGTGTGTGTGTGTGTCTGCATGAGTCCTGCTGAGAGTAATAGAGAAAGAAAAAAAACGATTGCACCAGCCGGTCTATGAATGTACTCGTAAGAAACAGAGAGAGCGATAGAGCAAGAAACAAAAAAAATTATTATTGAATAAGACATGAAACACAATACACACACATATTTAGTTATATTTATATAAACACATATATTCAAGCTGATATGTCTGTATCGGTTGAACCGTCTGACTTGGAATCTGGACTACAAATATCTTCGTTCCCATCAATACTTGATTTATGTCGTTTAATTAAACAGGGTTGCTCAGGTGCTAAAAGGCTATCGACATCGAAGCAACGTTTTCGTTTATTTGGTGTTGCCGGTAATGGACGAAGTGGCGTTGAAGTTGATGTCGATGTTATTGCAGGATTTCGACTTGTATTAAGAGATTGTGGAGGAGATGGAAAGAACAGTTGAGAATGATGTAACTGCTGCTGCTGCTGTTGTTGTTGTTGTTGTTGTTGATCTAATCGAGATGCCACAACACGTTGCATGTCATCAAAATAACGTTGAAGAAGATTTTGTGTCCCACCTGTACTGTTTGTCGTTCTTGTAGTCGTCGTTGACGATGATGATGATGATGAAAGTGATAAATCCGCTACATTCGGTCGTAATTCATCTGATGGATATTTCGATAGTGGACTAAAAATAACAAATATAGAAAAATAAAAGATCTCAACCAATAAAAATACTCTAAGAATGACATCATGCAAGGAAGAATAAAAAGCCGATAGTAGGATACAAACAATAATAATAAGTTTCTTTTTCTATTTACTTACTGTTCAAAATGATGATCTGTTCCATTGGGTGGTAACATTTCATCGTCATCTTCTTCATCGTCGGGTACTGATAATCCCATACTTTTTCTAACGCGTCGTTGTGCTCGACGTCTTCGAAAATCTCCACTACTAAAATCAGCTAAATTAGCTGGATGAATACTCCAATAGTGACCTTTGCCATTCGCTGAACGGCCAGCTTTAATAAAACAATCATTTAATGACAGATTATGTCGAATAGAATTACGCCAACCAGGGCCTCGAGCACGAAAATAAGCATAATGATCTAATATCCATTGATAGATATCCGAAAGAACAAGTTTTTGTTCAGGTGAACTCAATATTGCCATTGCAATAAGTCCAATATATGAATAGGACGGTTTTGGTTCTTCACGTAGAAGACAACGTAGACGTGGATCGTGTCGTTGCTGAAAAGCATATAATGCATGTGGATCATTAAATGAAGGATGATGTGAACCAGGTCCTCCTGATGATAACACTGATCCAGGTCCCGATGGTGGTGGCGGTGGTGCACCACCAAATCGAAGACGTACAGCATAATCATATAATTGCTGTTGAGCAGCTAATAACATTGGATAATTTAGATGATGCGATAGTGATGCCGACGATGGTGGTTGTAATGGTTGTGCATGTGAAATATCTCCATTGACTATTGGCTCTTTCTGCATGGCACTAGCGACCACAAGGGAATTGTTTATATGTATGTATGCCGTCGTCGTTCCGCTCGTTTTCTCACAAACAACTTGTTGCTCTATGATTGGTCTCTCTGTTTGCAAAAAATACCAGTTTGCTCCGTTTTTCGCCCTCCTAACTAATTCATCTTTCTCTCGTTTCTCTTTCTCTTTTCTTCATTATCGTCATTCTCGTTTCTCCTTCTCTTCTCCTAAGAGAGAAAGAAAACGCAAAATATTTGTGTGTCGTTTGCTTCACAACAAACAGCACGTACCGAGCGAGTCGGAGTGGTGGTGACGGTGGTGGTGCTATATCGGACAACATTATTCTGATCTATTCATAATGAATGGCTGTAGAAAGAGAAAAGAAATGCCTCGCGTATCTGCCAACGTATTTCGATTGGTTAATATGAAGCGAGAAGAGAAAATTAGACTGAATAAATCCTCATTGGGTAGAGTAACAGGAACGAGCAAAAAAGAAACAGAAAAGAAAAAAAAAGAAACAAACAGAAATATTTGTGCTTTTTCAAGTCAATTAATTCCGATTTATATAACTAAAGAATAAATTGTTTCAATATAAATAAACCAGAAAGTTTTGATTGGTTAGTAGATAAAACTTTTGTAAAGAAGAAAAGAAAAAAGCTCCGCCTGATCTCCCGGTGTGTATAAGATTAATTGTACCATTTAAGTAGTCCTTTTTTTATTTTATTTTAAACGATATAATTATGTTTAAACTGTTAAATTGTTCCAATCTATCTGTTGATAATATAAATTGTTAAAGAACAATTTTTTAAATGTTTCACATACACACAGAAGAAGGTCAATTTTTTTTCCTCGCTGTCGTCTTTATTTATTTATTTTTATGAATAAGCATGTGTTAAAAAATTCAAAAGACATTTTTTTGTTTAACATGAATTTTATAATTTATTTATAAAACATTCATTTATTTTACACAAAGCAAAGCATTAGTTTCTTTTTCTTCTTGTTTCTATTATATAGACGAGAGAAACGAGGAAAAAGAGCTTTAATTACTTTTTCTTTTGTGGCAACCTTTCATTTACTTTATAATATACGCTCGATTGATTTTACATCATTGATTTACGGATGTACAGCAAGCAAAGTGCTCTTTTCGTATCTTTTGATTCATCAAGAGTCTAATCAAATGTGTCACTTTGCAAATGTATACCCCATGTCCTAGCCTTTTTCTTTTTCTCCGTTATCATCATCACTAACACTATCATACATAGCTCTATATATGAAGACAAAAATCTATTGTGTGAAGCATTCTTATCGAATATTAACTGTTAATTGATCGAAAAAGCATGATTCTTACACCATCATGTTTTATTCATGGTTCACTTTGACTTCAATTCTATATGCAAAAAAAGAAAAAGAAAAAGAAAAAGAAAAGAAAAGAAACAAGATGACTATCATTGCAATTGTATAGTAAAAGTAAATCGACAAGAAAATTACAAGTCACGCAACGAGAAAAGCATATAAGAAAGAAAGGTTTATTAATTCAAATTCTAACCAGGAGGGACATGTCATCATCTTTTTCTTGTTTTTTTTCTACGAATCACAACATCATATTTGCCGCCACTAACGACATTATAGTCTTTGTCGTTGCTATTAAATAGCTGAAAGACAAATATGCTCATTCTTTTCTAACTAAATGATATTAACGTCTCATCGGGAGTCCCTCATACACATACACACGCAAAGAATGTTGAATCAACCCAATTTAATAGTAAAGGAAAAGAATGTGAACAAAAGCCTGATGATCTCTATGCATGCGGATGTTAGTCTGATCAAATTATCTTATAAGTATAAAGTTGCCGAACGTTAAGATGGCCACTTTAGAATGCAGAAGTTTTCTTTCATTTTTCTCTCCTTCTTCTATTCAAATAATAAATCCAAGTTTTTATCTGTTGGTTGGAAAGAAGAACCAGATTTTTTTCAAAATAAGAAGACAAGCACAATTCCGTTTTAATGTCAAACTCCGGAAAAATGAACACTCCATGTCAATCTTGCAATGTGTCTCGCACCCAACCAAAGGTGTGACCAATTTTCATCATACTTTCGATGACCACATCTGTCTTGAAATTTTCTTCTTTCTACAGTTGTGATGCATGTATCGGTGTGTCTATGTGTGTGTCACTATTCATCTCCGTTTTCACATGCTTAACTTAAGAGTACATTTCACGACTATGACTATGTTTGATCCAATTGTATTAAATACTCGTACACATACACAGAAAAAAGGAATCTAATGAATTGCTCTTCAAACTTAAGAATGTACACCAGTTGTATTGTATTGTATTGAAAATAATAGCGACGGATGTCGTGCTTTTCTTTCTTTATGTTCCACTAGTTTTGATGAGGTAGGCGTTTTTGTATATACGTATCTGTATATATATATATATATTGAGTGAGCGGCAATGAAGAGAAGAAGTTGATTAATTTTGATTGTTTCGAACTATTTACATACAGGTCCTGACAATGATGATGATAATTTGCTATAGTCACACAATAATTGAGGAGGAGAAAAAAACGTTTTTTTGTTTTGTTTCGACTAACTGCTGAGTGATGGCGACAATATTTATTTCGATAGGCAGGTGTAGATGGTGTCATCAACGGAACTATATTGTCAAGACAGGAGATGATTCCTTGCTGCTTTTTTCACTATGGTTATCACTTCCGATGATGACTAAAACTGTGTTGTATCAGTACACGCAATCGAGTCAGTGTCAATTCACTTTCGCATATTCAATTTCATCAACGGTATCGATGCACTCCTGGAGAGACAGAGTGCGCCAAGCTGAGACGTGTAAATACATAGACGAGTATTTTTCCCTACATACACCTGATGCCATATATTTAATGGATAGCTGCTTGATTCTTTTTTTTTTTTTTTGAAAAACAAAATATGAAGCCAAATTCTAATTTATCTTGATTACTACTGTGTATATTTGTTTTGTTCTGATACTAATTATCGATAGAAAACGTTCTGCTTTTATTATCTGAAATTATTATTTATTAGTTTTCTTATTAGATAAACAGAGAAAATTTTTGAATCATTACCCTAGAAAACAAGCGATTATGTCACATTCATACTGATGATTGATTGAGAATAGATGAAGATTGTCTTATTTGCTATTGGATGTATATACACTGGTGACAAGAGCAGTTCTTGTTCATCTGGGACATGACAGTCACTAGCTGAATTTATATCAATGAATATGTCTGACGAATCAATCAAAATGAGTAGCAAAGGAATTTTTTATTGTTTTTTTAATAGACAAAGCTGAGAGCATCGTCGTTTCAATCGTTGAAATGATATTGAATTCGTATATTTTTGAAAAAGGAAAAATTAGTCATCAAATCGATCTAATCTTCTGTTAAATTATAATTAATGATTGTAAAAGTGGAAAATCGTATTCAAAGTAATTTTACACTATTCAATTAAATGAACAAACTCGATTGATCAGTCAATGGACCATATGCATTATTAATTTAACATTTATTTCTATTTTCCAATAAAAACAACGCTCTCAGAATAATATTTATTTAACAAAAAACAGTATTCTAGAGGAAAAAAAACAGAAAAGAATACGTAAATATTGAGTCTTCGAAAAAAAAATGATGCCATGTGGAAGGTTTTAACAATGGAAAAGTAGTTTGAGATGGTGTGGGTCCCTAGTGGACGACAGGGCGTTCAATTCCCTTACTATCGGCCATTGTAGAAAATATTCGATTGCGTATCACAAAGGGTCATTAGATCATCCGACAAAATTTAATCGAATTATTGATTTTCACATATTTATTAAGCTTAAAAATCATTCTGTGCTGCTTTCGATTGATTCATTTGCAAATATCTTGTTGTTTCAAAGCACACAAATATCAGTTTTCAGTTATTTTTAAATTTTATCTAAGAGAAAAATATAGAATTTCTATAGAATGAAAATTGCTTTTACTTCGAAAACAATATTGCATGGGCGTAGTTGACTTTGCCCTTGGAAAGAAGTAAAAAGTAAAACAAAATACGATTAAAATTACATCACGAGTCTAACTTATAATGAGAAAGCATGAAATATAATATTAATGTTGACATTTATTGTTAATCTTTATGGAATGAGTTTTACAGTATTGTCTTTGCGAAGAAAAAAGCCTTGAAAATTCTGCTATAACATTAATACTTATTTATTCTTTGCTGGGTGTTTATTGCGTTATATCAAATATCCGAAAGCAATTGATTGATTGTTTTGATATTTCAATAGAGACGAACCAGCGGAATAACAGATGATTCTCAGATTTTTTAAGGCCTAAAAAATCTACTCTTTTCGATTATTTTTCAGACAACTGATGCACTCGTAGCGCATGTGCGACGTTTTTTTCGTACCACTTCCTATTCTGAAACAACGGCTCTAAATCCTCTATCTATACTTCTCCAAAAATTAAATACCTTTAATTAATCTGCGATACTATAAAAGTAGAAATGCAAATGGGACACACCGTACAAAGTTCCATTTTGCGACACGTAGAATGCAGGTTACTGCAATCCTCTCTATTATCGCATGCCTTTTCGTGAGTTCTATTCAAGCCACAAAAGATCCCAATGTAGCACCGGGTCGTTCAACTGCTATTCATTTGTTTGAATGGAAATGGACCGATATAGCAGCTGAATGCGAACGCTTTCTTGGACCTTATGGATACGCCGGCGTTCAAGTAATTCTTAACAAAAAAGGTTTTATTTCTGTTTTAAATATTCTTTTATTTTGCTAAGGTTTCACCACCTAATGAACATGCACTTATCGATGGTCGTCCATGGTGGCAACGTTATCAACCTGTCAGTTATAAACTTCAATCACGAAGTGGTACTGAAGCTGAATTTATTGATATGGTTGATCGATGTAATAAAGCTGGTGTTCGGTAAGATTAGAGAGAGAGAGAGAGAGAGAGAGAGACAATGAGATATTTCATTCACTTATCATTTCAAGTATCTATGTTGATGCTGTTATTAATCATATGGCTGCTGGTGGAAACCGTGGATCTGCTGGTAAGAAAATAAAACTTGTCTTTCTTTCGATGATTTATTTAAATTAAAATTTTAGGCTCTTCGTACAATACTGGATCAAAAGACTTTCCAGCTGTTCCATTTAGTGCCTGGGGTGAGATAGATTTATTAAAAGTTAAATTTTCTATTTGAAAATATTGTCTAAAAGATTTCGGTGACAGTCTATGTAAAAGCGGCAGTGGAAATATTGAAAATTATAATGATCCTGAACAGGTGAAATAATATTGATTTTTTCGTCCATAACAGTTTCTTTCTGTTCATGTACAGGTGAGAAACTGTAAATTAGTTGGCTTACCCGATTTAATCGTTGGAAAAGATTATGTAGCTGATAAAATCGCTGAATTTATGAATCGTTTAATTGATATTGGTGTTGCTGGTTTCCGTATTGATGCTGCTAAACATATGTGGCCCGCGGATTTAAATAAAGTCATTAACAAATTGAAAAATTTACGATCAGAGTAAATTCAAAACGTTCTGTTGATTTTTTTATTCTTTCTATTTTGTAGCATATATGGTGGTAACAAACGACCATTCATTTATTTTGAAGTTATCGATCTTGGTGGTGAACCTATTAAGAATACTGACTATACGCCAATGGCTCGTGTATCTGAATTTCGTTATGGTAAATTTTTAAGTGAAGTTGTACGAAAGAAAAACGGGCAAAAACTCAGATATTTGAATAACTTCGGAACTGGTAAGTTCGATCATTTACATTAAACAATAAAATTACATTTATTTATCTAGGCTGGGGAATGATTAACGACGGTGACGCTCAAATCATGGTTGATAATCATGATAATCAACGTGGACATGGTCAGATTACTATAATTTTATGATTTTTATTTGATTATATTTCCATCAATAGGCGCTGGTGGTGATATTTTGACCTTCTTCGATGGTCGTCTATATAAAATCGGCACAGCATTTATGTTGGCTTGGCCTTATGGTATATGATTTTATGGCTTTCCAATTCTTTAAAATCAATGTACAATTTTTTGCTTCTAGGATATCCTGTAATCATGTCAAGTTATAACTTCAATCGTGCCGATGATGGCCAAGGCCCACCGTCTGATGGCAGTGGTAATACAAACAGTGTTATCATCAATGCGTAAGTGAAATTATCCAGTTAGTGAATCTCTTATGTTATTTTTCTCAATGTTAGCGATTCGTCTTGCGGTGGTGGATGGATCTGTGAACATCGTTGGCGACAAATTTATAATATGGCTCGTTTCCGTAATGCTGCTGGTTTCGAATCAGTTCAAAACTGGTGGGACAACGGTAACAATCAAATCGCTTTCTCACGTGGTAGTAAAGGTAAAAACAAGAACAACCTAATCACAATTATTTTCTTTACTTAATTATTAAAATCAATTGAATCTTTAGCTTTTATTGTTATCAATAATGATGATGTCGATCTTAATCAATCACTCAGAACTGGTTTACCAGCTGGTCAATATTGTGATGTTATTTCAGGCAATCTTGATAATGGTAGATGCACAGGCAAAATTGTAACAGTTCAAGGTGATGGACAAGTACAAGTAGCAATTTCGAAGAATGATCAAGATCCAATGATCGCTATTCATGTTAATGCTAAACTTTAAAATAAAAGCACCTTCAGCTTATTAATTATTTATCGTTTTTTTTTGTTCTTTGATTCAATCATGTATTGACTAGAAATAAAAATACATACAAAAACAGAATAAAGAAAATGATATTTTTAACTTCATGCTTTTTTTATTCTATACATAACGTCATGCACGATAGATTTAAATAATAGGAATTAGTTTTCATTCGTTGGTTCGTTCTCGTCATCGAGAAACTCAATGTATGTAAATGGAAATGTTCCTTGACGATTTGATTTCACCAGTATTCCTTCACATTGACCATTACTTTCAGCACGATTTACTATTAGCAAATCACCTATTTGGAGACGAAGCGAACGTTTATCATATAGACTTGGAATACGATCTTTGATAACACGTGCTTTAGCTGGCAGTACCAGGGTTGTCTAGAAATAAAAATAAATCATTTCAGCCTGTTTTGCTCATTAATAAAGCAAAGACTTACTTGAGATATTGCTTTTTGTTGATGTTGTGACAGACTATCGACTTTAGATGTTTCTTCGCTGAGACTAGTCTATAAAAATTAACACGCTTATTATTTAGAAAATAAGGTTTGTTTTCTTTAACTCCTTGTTATTATTATAAAGAGAAGTAAATTTGTACTGACTTTAGTGATTAAGAAAATATTTGAGTATAATAATCTTGACGGCTCGAGTCTTCTCAGTTCTTTTTTTTTTTGGAGGATCTTGTTTTTCTATTTTCTTTAATATATGGATTAAAAGTGCCATAGAAAATTAGATTTATGATGGTAAAATAGATGTGACAACACCTTCAAATTTATCTCTCCGGTAAGGTTAGACCAAAAAATAACTTTTCTATTTTAAAACATGCTTATTTTAACTTATTTACAGGCTATTTCCTCCGATGAAGATCAATGTTTTCATTTGAAGTATAGAGAGTAGACTTCTTCAAATAATAGCTGTAATTTTAATCTCGGAGACACTCGAGTATTAAGTATATAATCAAGAAAGATGCCTAGTTGCGAGATTTTACTTGTCGGTATTCTTAATTAATACGATGGCCTTAGATTTGATCTCTTGAAAGATTACAACATAGAAAAGAATTTTGATTGGTTCTATTGTTAGAGAGGTAATTTAATGAAAAAGCATGTTGATATTTCCAATTCTATATTTAACATGCAAACAAGAAGAGAACAAGTTTATCGATTTATTTTATCAATACCCAATGGGTATTCTACATCGACGATACAATGGAGAGCAAAAGGAAATTTCTCTTCAGAATCTGAGTCACCGACCGAATTTCATCATGAAATAAAATTCTGAAAATTTTAGCACTGTTTTAACTACGTCCTATGATCTAGACAAACTTACATCAGCATTAGTTATCAATGACGATATACTATCTCTTTGATTATGATTTGTGGATATTGTGTTTGGTTTTGCAAGCTACAGTAAAAATTCATCGGATAAATAGATAAATTGAATAAAAATTGTTATTAAATTACGGGTTTCAGCAATTGTGTAGTATCGAGATAATGTGTTGTATAATGACGGAGAAGTGCAGGCATACTTTCAAAAAAATTACTTCCAATTTTATAACGTGGAGTTTCGCCATCTTCTTCAATTTTGTTTATAATATAGTGCATGGTCTTAGTACCTTCTCTATAATTTAATCGGCAAAAAGAATAATTATGCGATCAACGAACTTAAATCATACCTCACACAAAGTACAAAATCGCCTTTTAATGTTGCAGAATCACGAACAAGGTACGTTCCGGGGTCCTGCTCATGTAAAAGATCATTTGTCTCTGATCGAGATAGTTGACCGAAGTACCAACTAATGAATAGAAAATAAATATAGTATTATTAATTCCATGAATCTACCTGGTCTCATCATTTCCATTGAAATCACATCCATTAACTGGCATTGTCAAACCATTTGAACGTCACAAACTAATCCAGAACCAAGGAGCAGAAGATAATAACAACAATAGAAAAATATTACCATCTTTGATTGCCTCATGATCATCTACAAAGATAATGAATATAAGTTGGAATAGTGATGTCGCTCGTCGACAATCGATTGTCAGTTTACGATATATAGTCCTGCAGATGTAAATGTGTTTTAGTGATGTTATTATTAATTCCAAAAAATATGATCTCGAATAGTTCATGGACAAATACTTCTTAATTCAGATGAAGTTTCAGCAAAGGGGAAAAAGCACGCCTTCCGTATTTCACTCGTACTCCCATTCTACTCCCATCCTATTTCGAAGTACGGAAGTTGCGCTTTTCCTCCTTGAGTTTCAGTAATTGGAATCCAAACGACAAACAATTGATAAAGTGAAATCGATAGAAAAACAATACTTACTACTTTAAAATGTAAATTAATAATAGAAATTTTCCTACACGCCATAGCTGAATTTTATTTACGATTATAATAGAATTCGTACTCAAGAATTTGATTTTTCACGAAATATAATAATGT